CGTGAGACTTACTCACTATCACGAGAACAGCACTGCAAAGACTTGCCCCCATGATTCAATTACCTCCCACCAGGTCTCTCCTACAACACGTGGGAATTCAAGATGAGATTTCAGTGGGGACACAGCCAAACCATATCAGTAGGTAATGAAATAAAGGGTAGTTCCTAACTGATGTCAAAGTAACAAATGAATGTTGTGCTTTTTTATACTTTTTTTTTTTTCGAGGCAGTGGTTAGTCTTTTAAAACGCCTTCATTAAAGTTTCTAGTACATTATACCAAATAGAAGTTAAAAGACATGCAAGTAGCTGCTGGCTGGCATCTATAGTCACAGCTATTCAGGAGGCTGAGACAAGATGATTACTTTAGGCCAGGAGTTTGAGACCATCCTGGGCAACATAGTGAGACTCCATCTCCTAAAAAAATTAGCCAAATGTGGTGGTGTGCTCCCATAATGTCCACTCCCCACAGAGATTTTAAAATAGCAATTTTTATTGCTGCCAATGTGAGTAGGCCAAAAAAAAAAAAAAAAAAAGAGACATAGAGACATTTGATGGAAGACATTTCATCTTCATTTGATGGAAGATCAAATGCCAGTTAATTACTTAAAATTAATTTTGAGAATATGAAAACATCATTTTGGATTTTGATGTTTTCTGTTCCATAATTTTCCTTTTCCTTATATTCCTTTTTCTCCTAAGACCCAATTGAGGGGGGAGAAAACCCACAGCATCTTAAAGATCTTTATTCTTTTATCACGTCTGTGTACTATTGTTAGTGGATATAATGCTTTATGAAATGTGATCATTTCAGTAGTTTTGTAAAATATGTTTTGACTTAAAAGCATGTAGCAATAGTGATCGTTAATCCATTCATTAGAATTTTTTGTACTTCATTATACAATTGACTCTATGCGAAAATAGATACTTGGGAGATTTTAAAGAGTTATTAATACTGCTTGGAAATAATGATATGTTAGAATTCCCTTCAGGATTTTTTTCCCTACTTGAGACCTAACCTGTCATTGTTTTCATATAATCAAATTAAAGTAACACATGGATTAATGCACTTGTTCTTCTTCTTGACAAACTCCTTGAAGAACAATTTTGGAAGTATTTATTAATTTGCTTTAAAATAACAGCACTCATTATGTGTTAATATAAATACTATTTTTCATGAAAATAACTATTCCAGACCCCCAAAATTGATGAGGAAAGTGGATTTGTTTTATATTTGCCAATCTCTTTAATACCTACTTTAATAAGAAGCAGCTGGGTCTTTTCATCTCTAGTGCATTCATTCTGTTGTCTCATATAGCCTCTAGAAAATACCACTGCAAACTGGCAAGACAATAAGTGAAAAAGAAGTCTTAGGAGCTGGGCATGGTGGCTCATGCCTGCAATCCTAGTGCTTTGGGAGCTGAGATGGGAGGATTGCTTGAGGCCAGGAGTTGGAGGTTACAGTGAGCTATGATGGTGTCACTGCACTCCAGCCTGGGTGACACAGCAAGACCCTGTCTCTTAAAAAAAAAAAACTTAAGTGTTACTAGGATAGTAGTTGTGTCTTTGCATTCTCTGAGTGAGAAACTTGGGATCCCAGTTCTCTCCTCTAGGCCAAGCAGAGCCCTGGGGCTTGATTTTAGAGTTGTTGGGTTTGCTTAGTATGTTGTTTCTTGGTTTGTCATTCAGAAGGACAGGGGTCTTCTGAAAAATCAGTGCTCTAATTCATGTGTATGTCTGCATACTTCTGAGTGGAGATCCGTGTCTCTCTCCCTACTCCACCTGTCCTGTTCCACCATTCGCTAGCTGGCCATCCACTTGGAGTGAGCAGTGCTTCCTGTGGGTGAGTGTACCCTGGAGTTTGCCATTGCTTTGGTCCCGACCACAGCTTTCTCAGGCCACGCAGGGCTAAGTTGCCTAGGTGGCAGTGTTTTGTATCATGAAATGAGCTCACCATGTGACCAGTTCTGTACTGTGGATATCACTCCACCTGTTGTCCTTGCATCTCACAGGCAGCAGCATGCCAACAGGACTATCTTTACCATACCCCAGGCCGTAGTCAATGGCCTACCAGTCACGATGTTCCTGGAGGGCAGCGTCCCATGGGTGGGACACCCTTTGCCATGCTGTGGCTGCTATACCCTACTTCCTACTTGCACAGCCATCCGAGTGTGGGCTAGGGAGCCCAGATCCTATGCCTGGGATCTGTATATCCACACTTGCACCCACCCTCCCTGGTAGATCCTACAGGAGTAGCACATGCCAGTCTCAAAGGTTAATCCACAGTGGTGGTGTGAATGGCTGGATGTGGGTTCAGCTTCTACATAGATAACTGGTTATTGTAGAACTGATCTACACCTGCGGCTGCTGTGACTCTGGTGATTCTAGGTAACCTAGATCAATCACATTTTCCCCCCACCCCTGCCATGGCCCTGTCACTCTTAGGTGGCTGTTATAGTGCCTGCTGAGGCGACCACTGTGACCAAGAATCTTAGTAATAGGGAATCTCAATTTGGTTCTGCAGAGAGAGCCTGATAAATTAATATCCTATCTAAGGAACGCAGCAGGCGTACAAATTACCCACCCCCAACCCTGGAAGATAATGATTAAAACAACATGGAACTCTTTCAAGGCCCTGTAGTTGGAAAGAGTCCACTTTAAATCCTTTAAAGAGAATCTATTGCAGGGCAAGCCTGGTGCTGGCAGCCACGGTAATCCCACTTTCAGTGTGGTGTGCTGAATTTGTGGCCATTAAAATGCTTGTTCTTGGATCTTAGGTGCTGCCGGGGTCCATTGCAAGAAAGTCCATGCCTCTTGCCTTTTGGTACCTTCCAGGCTCTTGCCTGAGTTTCCCTGGAGCTGAAGTGTGCACTTGAAGAAAATTAGTGTTCAAAGTAGTGTGGGCTGCCTGGATACTGCTGGTGGGAATCATGGAATGGGAGTGTGGTTCTATTTTGTTTGTGTCAAAACTTTGAGGAAGCTGATTAAGCAGGGCAGTTGGGGCATTAGTATTGCACCGCTAGGACTCAAATTCTGGGCCGGTAGTAAGACTGATCAGAGTGAAAGCTTTTGCCAAGGATGTTTTCGTTAACCGAGGATGAAGGTGAAAGTAGGAAGTTTAAAGAAGTTCAGGTCCTGTGTAGTTACGAACATAAATGTGATGTTGACCACTGCATTAATGCCCATGACCCACTAGCAGCTTCCAGGAAACCCTTTGGGTTGTGGTAGGGGAAAGGTCTGTGTTCAAAGCTGAATCTGAAAGGCAGCAGCAGTAGGGATGGCATAATTCTACTCAACATGAGCAACCTTACCTGCTTCCAGCACAGACAGGATTGTCCCATTGATAGTTGTTCTGTGGATGGGGGTGCATGGCTTTTCTACTCGATGAAGAGATTTGACTGGTAGTTAATCGATAACCAGGAAGACTAGCATGCTAACCAGTTAGGCGAGCATTCAGCATCCCCCAATTCAGACAAATGACATTCAGCCATCTGAGATTGAGCAGTTAGACTCTGGATCGCCCAACTGGTTAGCACACTAGTCTCCTTGGTTATCTAGTCACCAGACGGATCTCTCCACCAGCCTAGAAAAGGCATGCACCCCCACCCACAGAAGAGTAGCCACAGGTCTGTGATGCTCTTAAATGCCTGGAACCACGCACCACACTGCTCTCAGCATGTGCTCATTTGAATCCGATGGGTGCCAGAGACCCATTAAGTCCATTAGTGATGCGGATCGGGATTGTAGTAATTCCTTGTTAAGGAAGAATTCCCCGTGAGAGAGCAGGCCGAAAGTATGCATTAAGTTTCTGCTGATTCTCCCTCGATAGGCCACTAGGGATTGGCTCTTGGCCCTGACGCATAGCTGAGAACGGTCTAAAATAAAAGTTATAGCCAGGGTTCCCTAAGTGGACCCAGGTAGGAGCTTTAGAGCGAGAGTGCGAAGGATCAGTAGCGGTTCCTCCACTGTCGTGCTGCTTCGGGGCCACTCCAGGCAGGAGGACAGGCAAATGTGCCCCTAGAGCCTCGTAATGCTGGGCATGAGGGGTAAGGCTGCGGTCCAAGGACCCCTTAGCACTGGACTCCTGTCCCTTCTGCTTAAGGTGGCTTCCGGCTCATCTCTCTGTGGCCTGGTGCCTTTGTGGCTTTGGGGTATCCCCTCCCCCAACCAGTCCTTGAAGTCTGTGTGTGTGTTTCTGTGTCTGTCTACTTCACACACTTGTGGGGTGGGACGACATGAAAAGCATGTCTTCTAACTGCTGTTACTGTGGTGAGTCCTCAGATGTGTTTTGTGGAGTTTAGGCTGTTAGGACTTTAAACCATTAAATTGTTAAGACTGGAGGCCAGGCGCCGTGGCTCATGCCTGTAATCCCAGCACTTTGGGAGGCCGAGGCGGGTGGATCATGAGGTCAGGAGATTGAGACCATCCTGGCTAACACGACGAAACCCCGTCTCTACTAAAAAATACAAACAATTAGCTGGGTGCAATCGTGAGCGCCTATAATCCCAGCTACTCCGAGGCAGGAGAATGGCGTGAACCCGGGAAGTGGAGCTTGCACTGAGCTCCATTGCACTCCATTGAGATTGTGCCATTGCACTCCAGCCTGGGTGACAGAGCGAGACTCCGTCCCAAAAAAAAAAAAAAAGACTGGAGTTTAAAACTGTTAGGATGCCAATGGCGACCTGATTTTACATATTTCTATTATTTGTTGTGGAGAGTGCAGTTTTAAATAAAATCATCTGTTCCTGTTATTTTCAACTTTGGTTTATTTAAAAGCTGTCATACAAAGGAACAACTTTTAATACATTATTTAGGAAGTTTTTTCGTTTTAAATATACACTTGAATCGCAACTTAATCACAACTTTCAGTTCTCCATGCTATTAATGTTTTGTCAAGTGATAGATTCTTGCTTTAATGTCCAATATTTTGGTTTATGCTTGTCTCTTGTTTTTTTTAAAAAGTTATAAGCAAAGGAAATTCAATTTTCCTTTTTCATTGACAGACATATGTAGAGTGTGTCGGTCGGAAGGAACACCTGAGAAACCACTTTATCATCCTTGTGTATGTACTGGCAGTATTAAGTTTATCCATCAAGAATGGTAAGTCATACTTTTAGAAAGTTGTGTAAGTCGGAGCTTCAGTTTTGTCATGTATACAGTAACAAGGATCATTTCAATGTACTTTCTCTGTAATTATTTTTAAAATTTTATTGTATTGTCCCGAGCACAGGAAACTAAAAAAGCCCTTTTATTGTAAAATTTCAAAAATTTGGAAAAGAAATTATCCATTAATTCTTAATACCATGGCTGTTATTTTGGTGTATCCCCTTCCAGGTACACATGATTACCCATTGTTATTTCTACCCTGGAGAGCTTATTTTGTTCTCCGAAAGTGTTATGATTTTCTAGTTTTGCTTGGCATAATAGTAGCTTACATTTATGAATAACTTTTTGCCAAGAACTATTCTTAGTGTTTTGTACATTTCAACTTACTTAATTCTTATAAGAAAACTGTGATGAGGTAGAGTGTTATTATTATGCAGATGAGGAAACTGAAGCATAGGAAGGTTAGATAACTTGTCCTAGGCCACATAGCCAGCCAGTTAGTGGCAGAACCAGAATGCAGACCTAGCTACCAGGTACCAGTATTATCAGACCAGGATTAAAACTGATGTTGATGCTTGGAGATTCTTTCATATTCATTTTGCTTTGAGGAAATCACAGTTTTGATTAATTGAACCTTTTTTAATGGTAGAAAAATGTATTGTTTTTATGTCTAGCTGTTGTAGTTTTTTATTTTTAGAAGGCGGTTACAAAAAGTTGAGTATTCTAAATTTGAAAATTTTGAAACTAAAAGCTCTGTGATATGTACATTTTTAATAAAAACAATGTTTTCAACAAAACTGTAGGTTTCTTTGTTGTAAACTCTGTACTTATGAATCTGTTTATAATTACAGCTTAGTTCAGTGGCTGAAACACAGTCGAAAAGAATACTGTGAATTATGCAAGCACAGATTTGCTTTTACACCAAGTAAGTTCTTTAGACCTTTTCACTGCATTTGTTTGGTTATCACTCATGGCATAAAGGTGTTTAGATCAGTTGACAGAGGAAGGGGGAAAAAGTGTTTAAGTACTTTAAAACAACTATTTTCAGTTTGATTGTCTTTGATAGTAATAGGAAATATTGATATTTTATTTAGGAAAATATTTTTAAAAACTGTATGCCCTCTTTTATCACACACATGTTTGAGATTTAATTTGTGGGTTTTTGTGGTTTTTTTTTTTGTCTTTAAACATTTTTTTACTTTTAATTATAGAAAAGTTCGAACACATGCAAAAATCTAACAAGTCCACGTGTACCCATCACTTAGTTTCAACTCATAGCCAGTCTTGTTTTACACATGCTCTTGTTGCCTGCCTCTTTATCCTTTTATTTTTTCTCCATTATTTAAAAAATAATTCTACCATTTATAATTTCATCTGTATGTATTTCAGTATGTATCTCTAAAAGGTAAGGGTTCTTTTTCAAAAACGTAACTATAATACCGTTATCCACCTAGAAAAATTAATGATGCCTTGATTTCATCAGATACTCACTACTCTTCAAATTTGGACTATATTTTGAGTTAAAGTTGTGTAGGTTAGAATAATAGCCATAAAACTTAAAAAAATAAATAAATAGAGTTTTGGGGGGGGGGTCTCACTATATTGCCCAGGTTGGTCTTGAACTCCTGGCCTCAAGCAGTTCTCCTGCCACAGCCTCCCAAAGTGTTGGGATTACAGGCTTGAGCCACATTGCCTGGCCAAATAAAGTTTTAAATTACCTTTTTTTTAATGAGACTAACTTTTAAGGTCAGTGTTTCATAAGCCTTTATAAAATATTTTGCAACCTTTAAGGTTTTAACTATAATTCCTGTGCCTATTAATACTTAATATGCTTCATCTTAAATAAGTAGAGGACTGTGCTGGCAGATTATTATTTGAAGCATAATTTTTCATTCTGGGATCCCCTACATTGCCTTCCCTTACAAAGGATTTTTGTGTTTTAGTTGTGTGTGTGTGGTTTCCTTTAAAGCATCTTGAGCTTCTCAATATAAATGCTGTAAATTAGTGTTTTACTTTGTTTTTATTTGATGAGTATAAATGATTAAAGTTATTACACTTTCACTTTTGGAGCTGTATATTCATCTAAAAAAGTCAATTCTGTTATTTTGTAGTAATTTTCTGTAGTACATAAAAGCTGTACAGCTTGTCAAGATTCATAGGAAACTATGACTAAATAGTTAAGTATCTTCATGAAATTCAGTTGATAGGAAATACGTGGCCTTTTACTTTGAGGCCAGAAGAAGCTTTTTTTGTACATTTTAATTTTCATTTGGTAGTTATATTCTCTATTTCTTTTATGTTTTCCAAAAAACCTCTATTATTACTGGTTTTAATGACTTACTCTTATATGCCAGATATCCTATTGAAGTCTATGATCTGTGGGCATGTGTCATTAAAAGTTGCTATTTGTGGCCAGGCGCTGTGGCTCACGCCTGTAATTCCAGCACTTTGAAAGGCTGAGGCAGGCAGATCACCTGAGGTCAGAAGTTTGAGGCTAGCCTGGCCAACGTGGTAGAAACCCTGTCTCTACTAAAAATACGAAAATCAGCCAGGCGTGGTGGCAGGCGCCTGTAATCCCAGCTACTTGGGAGCCTGAGGCAGGAGAATCACTTGAACCTGGGAGGCGGAGTTTGCAGTGAGCCGAGATTATGCCACCACACTCTAGCCTGGGCAACAGAGTGAGACTCTGTCTCAAAAAAAAAAAAAAAGTTGCTATTTGTTAATTGTTTATTTCTCAGTGTTTATGGGTGTGAACCGTTTTGTGATACTGCTCTTAAAAATTTTAGATCATTGCTTTTAAACCCTGATATATCATAAGTTCTTGTTTTGGCCTTACTGGAGAAAGAAGTGTGTGTTTTTCCTTTATGTTCTTTCCGAGCTACCTGTGGTAGAGCTTTTTAATAATAAGCAGTGGTTTTTTTATTGGAGCCATTTTAAAAGGGAATCCTAAAATGTGGCAGAACCTTTCTTTTTCTGAATGTGTTGAGCCACATTTCGCAGAGTAGTGGGAAGATCTGAATTTATCGTTTGAAATTTTAAGTATTGTGCTAACATTGGGAAAGTGGCTAACAAATGTCAGTGGGATGTTTGCTCCCACGTGAAATGATCTGCCGCAGACTGTTGTGCTTTTTGAGTGCTATTTAATGCTTATATTTGGGGGCGTGTTGATGGCATGTTTTCAGTTTCATCTTTTGCTCCTGTTTGCTTTATTATATCTTATAATTTGGGAAACCAGATGATTATATTGGTTGAATGTTAAAATATGTGTAAATGGGCCTTGTACGAAGTTTATGGTTATTTGCAAGGGATGTGAACATCTGTTGAATTTTTTTTCCTGCTCAGAGGCCTTTGTTGATTTCCACGTTTCACACGTGATTTGCCTCATAAATGACTTCTTGGGTAAATGTGATATTGTAACTATTTGTTTTATTTCTTTTAATAGGAAGAAAATTAAGCACAAGGCAAATATTGAAAATTTAATGTCTATTTTATATTTATGAATTAAGCTATTTTCAAATCTTCATGAAATTTTAAGTACTTTTTTTCTGCTTATAGTTTATTCTCCAGATATGCCTTCACGGCTTCCAATTCAAGACATATTTGCTGGACTGGTTACAAGTATTGGTACTGCAATACGATATTGGTTTCATTATACACTTGTGGCCTTTGCATGGTTGGGAGTTGTTCCTCTTACAGCATGTGAGTATTCATGCCTCTTATTGGAGTTATTTAAACATTGCATAACTACTTGATATTATAAAGCAATATTGCATCATATTATTATTTGATGTTTAGTTATTTGATGTCAGAATGTCACGTATTAGGAAAGCCTTATTTAGAAGATGTTCATCTGAACTAAGAATGAGTTTAACAGGTCAGTTTCTTGAATAAATATGGGAAAGAACACAGCATACAGAATGGCTAACCATGAAAGTTCATGAATGCATTGAAAAAATCAAATCATAACTGGATTTGAAGTATACTAGAGCTTTCAAGGACTACAAAAGATGGCCGGGCATGGTGGCTCATTCCTGTAATCTCAGCACTTTGGGAGGCCGAGGTAGGCAGATCACTAGCCTGGCCAACATGGAGGCTGAGGCAGGAGAATTGCTTGAACCCAGGAGGCGGAGGTTGCAGTGAACTGAGATTGCACCACTGCACTCCAGCTTGGGCAACAGAGCAAGACTCTGTCTTGGGAAAAAAAAAGGACTGCAAAAAATGAATTCTTTTGGGATTCCACAACCCTCCTTTAAAAACATACTCACATGGCCGGGTGTGGTTGCTCACGTCTGTAATCCCAGCACTTTGGGAGGCCGAGGTGGGAGGATCACTTGAGGTCAGGAGTTCGAGTCCAGCCTGACCAACATGGTGAAACCCCGGCTCTACTAAAAATACAAAAATTAGCCGGGTGTGGTAGTGTGCGCCTGTAATCCCAGCTACTCGGGAGGCTAAGACAGGAGAATCACTTGAACCCGGGAGACAGAGGTTTCAGTGAGCTGAGATCACGCTACTGCACTCCAGCTTGGGCAACAGAGTGAGATGTCACCTCAATAAAATACAAATAAAATTAAAATAAAATTAAAAAATACTCATACATGTAATGGTCCTAAATAATTGGGAGGCTTATCTTTCAGATATAGGAGGCTCTTTGGGAGATTGATATGCTAATCAACCCCCCTAATCAATCCAAAGAATCCTCTTGGATTCTTTGTTGTTCTTATAGTCATGGAGAGAAGTATGTAGTATATGGGTGGCAGAGTATATAGATAAGAGTCATTAAACAAAATTTTAAATTAGCATAATTAATATCTTCATGTCTCCTTAAAATATGGTAAAATAATGTTGATTACCTATGGAAATGAAATTCTTGGAAGATACACCAACTAGCAGAATATAGGTACTGTTGAAGAGTGAGTTAGCTAGAAAATTGTATGAAGGAATTCTCCCAGGATGAAACTCAGAGGGACAAAGTAGTTATGAGAAGTAAATATAGAGAAATGGAGGCTAATCTAGTTGTTTCAGTATCTGTCTAGTAAGTAGTTCCACAAGGTAAAAGAGACAGTGGAGATGAGGAAACAATTGGTGTCTTTTAGATTGAAAGAGAAAGCTGACCATGGTAAAGGAAAAGTCTCATGAACCTAGACATATTCTCAAGTTTTCCAGAGCTGGGTAATGTGGCGATGGTGATAGAGGTATAGAGATTGTGTGCTTCCAGATTATCCAACAAAGTAAAGAAAATCAAAGTGGCATCAGACTTAAAATTAGCAATGTTGAATGCTCGAAGACAGTGGAAACTCAAAGTTTCATGTTTTTGAACCTAAAATTCCCTTCCTGCAAATTACTCTCAGATGGAAGGACAAACTACAGATGTTTCAATAGATGTGAGAGATTGGAAAATTTACCACCTTAAACTTTTTTGAAAAAACTGAGGATATACTCTACTAAATGAGCAAGGAATCAAAGAAAGAAAGATGTGAGATTCAAAGAAGTGTTTCATATAGCTAAGTCTCGATTGTTAATCTACAATAATTAATAGTTTTTGGGTAACAGCCTGGAACTGAAATTCCAGATGATCTTAATGTGGGAGAAATTGTGACAGGAACATAGAAATTCAAGCTTTTAAAATTGCTTATCTCATTTGTGGGGAGATTATAGATGTTCTAGATGTAGGTAGAAAAATAGAGCATAACTGTGCATTAAAAATGTAGACTAGACTCACAACTACCCAGAATTAGACTCACAGCTACATTGTTTCATTATTAATGACAAAAGTGCCACCACAGATCAGTGGAAAAAAGATGGTTTTTTCGGTAAATGGTATTGCAACAACCAGATGGCCATACAGAAAAAAATGAATCATACCATGACCTCAACCTAACCCAGAAATTAATTTGAGATAAAAGCCTGAATGTGAAAGTTAAAAAGAAACTTCTAAAGTAAAATATAGGAGAATAAGCATAAAAGAAAATATTAGTAAGTTGAACATAATTAAAGTTAAGAACTTATGTTCATCCTTAGACACTTTTAAGAATAAAAGGCAATTTAATTCTGGCATGCAAAAAAAATAAATAAATAAATAAAAAATTGAAAGGCAAACCAAGCCATAGAATGAGCGAAGATATTTGCAGTACACATAATCCAACAAAGGACTTGTATCTAGAGTATATAAATCAATAACAGAAAGGCAAACACATCTCAGTTAAGCAGTGGACAGAAGGTCTGAACAGGTATTTCTGGAAAAACAGCTAAATATACTAAGCTCTCCATGTCTGTGGGTTCTGCAATGCTAACTGTGGAATTTGAGCATCTGTTTATTATTGAGGAGATTCCTGGAACCCATTCCCCATGGATACCAAGGGATGACAGTAGCCAATAAACACATGAAAAAGTGTTCAGCATCGTTAGAGAAATGCAGAAGGAGGGTGACTAAAAATAAAAAGAGTAGACAGTGCCAAATGTTGCTTAGGATGTAGAGCATCTAGAACACATGTACAGTGATCGAGGAGGAGTGCATATGTTATAACCACTTTGGAAAACTGTTTGGCAGTATCTGCTGATGCTAAATATTGTATACAAATACCTTATGATCTAGCAGTTCCATTCTTGGGAATATAACTAACAGAACAAGAAGTTTCTGTTCACTAAAGAACATATGTATAAGAACGACCACAGCATTTTTATTAATAGTACTTAAAAACTGAAATCAGTCAAATGCCTATTAATAGTAGAATGGATACATTGTGGTTTATTCATGCAATGGAATACTACATAGCAGGGAAAAAGAGCTGACTATTGTGACATGGAATAACATGGATGAATTTTATTTCTTTGACAAAAAACAAGCCAGGCACAAAATTGTGTGATTGCATGTGTGTGAAATTTTAAAACAGGTTAAATTCATCTATAGTGATAGAGATCTGAATAGTGGTTACCTTTTGCAGGGGCTTTTGCCTCGGAAGAAGCTTGAGGGAGCCTTCTGGGGAGCTGGAAGTGTTGAACATCTTGATTTGGGTGGTGATTACCCAAGACATGTATATTTTAAGAATTCACCCATCTGTACGCTTAAGATTTATGTAAAATGTACTTTAATAAAGACATAACAAAACTCAAGGGCAACAGCTAGAAGACTAGAAATAGGATGAGTAGGAAACAGCAAATAAAATTTGGAAATTTCAAACAAAGGCAGGAAAGGAAGGGAAGGCGGAGGAAGGAAGTAGGGAAATAAAATTAAATACGTCTGTAATCATCAGGGATTAGATTTCTCTGTTACTAGAGAGCTTCATAGATGTGTAGGTATAAAACTTGCACTACTACAAGAGATAAATACAAAGCAGCACAGGTTAATGCTAAAGAGATACAAAAATAGTTTTGTTAGCAAATAGCTAACCAGAAAACTGGGCCTTGAAATACATAAAACAGTCACAGTCATAGTGGAAGACTTACATGCCTCTCTGAAATCAGTAGATGAAATAGGCAAAAGTAAGGACTTATAAGATTTAACAGTTATTAATCACAAGCTTGTTTTCTGTTCTGACTTGTTTATATACAGATACGCACAATTTAAATTACATCACACGATACATATTCTGTAACTTTTCTCTTTAGCTTAGCATCGTATTCTGGTGGTCTATCCATGTAAGTGAGTGTTCTGCTGCCCTTTTTTTTTTTTTTTTAACGGTGCACAGCACTCTGTAGTAAGAAGGCCTATTGCATATGAATTCATTTACCTATCTAAACATTTGGTTTGTCAGTTTTACATTGTTACAAGCATACTTGCGTGAGTATTTTATAAACACATGTAAGTAATTTTTATTACAGAAATTCTTTTCCTACCTTTCCATTTTGACTTGGTTTTGAAAACAGCCATTGAAGTCACTGAAAATCTGAACTGAAGTCTCTGATACAAGGCTATATAGGGAATGCTTAAGCTAATACACAAATACTGGTTTGAAAGAAAGCCTCAGGTTTTTATTCTTGTGCCCCATTTTCAAATCTGTGGTCTGTTATCTCATTCTGTCTAGAATTCTGCCTTCCTAACTAAAAGACTTTCTGCCTTGATAGCAGTACATTCACCCAAACTTTGTCTTTCTCTAAATGGCCAGAATTTAGAGTAATATATTCTGTATTTTAGAGAACCTCTGAATCTGTGCTTTTAAAATACTGATTGTCAGGTTGCCATTTATGGCATTGCAGTACATACTGTACTGAAAAATTCTCTTAATTTCAAAGACTTACACTTCCAAAACTGAAACATTTTATTGTCATGAGCAGACTTAATGAATTTTGGAATTCTAGAATTTAAAAAATTCTTTATATTATAATTTTGGAGATCTTTACTTTAGATTTTGCTTTTCAAATATCTAAGCTCATTCAATTAAAAAAAAAAAAGTAAACCTAGAGAGAATCTAAGCACTAAACATGATTGTGTAACATTTACTCTTGATTGTCACTCTATTTGTGCTTGATCATGTTTTTAAAAATTTAATATTTTGAGACTTAGGTTTGTAAAGACTAAATGTTTATTTCAGTGGCATTTGTGGTGTTCCACTTTACTTCTGCTTTCTTGAGCAGCTATATGAGTTCATGATGCGAGTTGTGACTGTATGCCATCATGCTCTTTTTCGGTAGGCCGCATCTACAAGTGCTTGTTTACTGGCTCTGTGAGCTCACTACTGACACTGCCATTAGATATGCTGTCGACGTGAGTATTGAACCTGTGTGATGAATGTTGCATGATGTAGATGATGCTTGCTTTTTTCCTTGCATATTTGTTTTTATTATAATTTGTAAATTCTTCTGTTTTGAGAAAAAATAATTTATGTCTATTACACTAACAGTTTTAGCTGCAGTAGAAGTAGCTGATAAATGTAAATGACATTTCTTTTAAAACATACCTGTTTCATGGGACTGTTTTGTAATGATGGGATGACTTTTCTTTCTTTTTTTTTTTTTTGAGATGGAGTCTTGTTCTGTTGTCCAGGCTGGAGTGCAGTATTGCTATCTCGGCTCACTGCAACCTCTGCCTCCTGGGTTCAAGTGATTCTTCTGCCTCAGCCTCCCTGGTAGCCCGCTACCATGCCTGGCTAATTTTTGTATTTTTAGTAGAGACAGAGTTTCACCATGTTGGCCACATTGGTCTCAAACTCCTGACCTCAGGTGATCCACCCGCTTCGGGCTCCCAAAATACGTGGATTACAGGCATAAGCCACCGCGCACAGCTGGGATGACTTTCTAAATAGGCTGTCATGCAGTTTGAGATATATGCTACTGTCTTATGTTCATAAGAGTTTTTTTTTTTTTTTTTTTTTTTTTTAAATGGAGCCTCACTCTGTTACCTATGGTAGGGTGCAGTGGTGTGATCTCTGCTCACTGCAACTTCTTCCTCGTGGGTTCAAATGATTCTCCTGCTTCAGCCTCCTGAGTAGCTGGGATTACAGGCGTGTGGTCCCAAGCCAGGCTAATTTTTTAAAAATTTTTAGTAAAGATGGAGTTTCACCATGATAGCCAGGCTCATCTCAAACTCCTAACCTCAAGTAATCTGCCCACCTCAGTGTCTCAAAGTGCTGAGATTACAGGCATGAGTCACTGTGCTTGGCCAAGAGTTCATTTTAATATGTTTTTAACATGCACATTTGAACTCAGATTTATTTTTTAAATGTTTTCCATGATTATTAGAATATAAATGCTAAAAACTTGCCTGTAGTTACTTTACTATATCTTGACATTAAGCATTCTTGCTTGCCTTATATTGGCAGGCTTCTTTTTTCCTCTGACCTGATTAGTTTGAGGGTCACCTGAATTGCTTTCAGTAGACTATTCATTGACTACAGAGGACCACTGGAAGCCTAGTGGGGCTAGTCAAACTAAATTACAAACATGGCTTGGTTTTATAGTCCTAAGCTGCCTTTTACAGTTTGAAAAATTGAGCCAGTTTTTCTGATAGCCGTTGTGGCCAAACTACTTTTTTTTTTCAGTAATATTTTGTACTCTACAGAATTTTTTTTTTCTGTGAAATTTTACTTTAAATTTCCTTGGTGTCTTATCAGTTTCTATATATTCTGTAGCTCAGTAATTGAGGTCATCTCTAGGTGCACTGTATCAGTTATCTATTGCTGCAAAACAAACTGTCCCAAACCTTAGTGGTTTAAAACAACTACCATTTTATTTGCTTATAATTCTGGGGTCAGCAGTTTGGGCTGGGCTCAGCTGAACTTTTCAACTATTGGGCTTGCTTAGGTCACTCAGCTGTTTTACTGAGACTTAATGATCTAAGATGGTTTATCTGAGATGCCTTGGTTCTCCTCCTTATGGCCTCTTATCTTCTGGAATGCTAGTGGGGCTTCTTTACATGGTAGTCTCAGGGCAGCATTCTAAAAGGGCAAGAGAGGAAGCTTGCAAGCCCTCCTCTGGGCTCTGGAACTTAGGCAGCATCACTTCTCTCCAGGATTCACAAAACCAGCCCAGATTAAAGGAATAAGCGAAAAGGACTAGAGTTTGTCACCAAATGTTTAAAATCTGTAACAAACAGTTAGGATTATTGCTGATGGCAAGGAAGATATAAAGGGGATATTTTGGTCCAAACCTTTCAGAATGTAATAGCCTGGAGAGTTCCTTAGTAAGGTGGTAGTTAGGATTCCTCTTTTGATTCAGGACATACTGCAGACTATATTTTCTAGGGGCCATGCCAGTTTAGTTTAAGTTTGGCGCTGGTGGGTCAAGGTCTACCAGATTGACCCTTCTCAGGTTTTCTATGGAGGAAAAAAGTGATTCCATTAAAATAATGGATTTTCCAATGGCTGATAGTTCAGAGGTGTTTGAGTTATCTGTGAATAATTCTGAAATCATAAACATGGACTAGGGAAGGAAAGATAAGCCTCTTAAGTAAGAGAGGAAAAGGAGAAAGTGGTCCTTGGTATCACAACATGTGATGCATTTTCTTGTATGATTACCAAAGGAATCGTACTTCACCTTTCTGGATTTGTTGAGAAACGAATACACTTTTGGTATATTTGCAGTTAGCATCAAAACTTGATTTGCTTTCTGAATGAAAAACTTTTTTTTTTGAGATAGAGTCTCACTCTGTACCCATGCTGGAGTGCGGTGGCTCAATCTTGGCTCACTGCAACCCCCACCTCCTGGGTTCAAGCCATTCTCCTGCTTCAGCCTCCCGAGTAGCTGGAATTATAGGCGCACACCATCATGCCTGGCTAATTTTTGTATTTTTAGTACAGATGGGGTTTCACTGTGTTGGCCAGGCTGGTCTCAAACTCCTGACCTCAAGTGATCCGCCTGCCTTGGCCTCCCAAAGTGCTGGGATTACAGGCATGAGCTACCACGCCTGGCCAAGTGACAAACTTCTATAAAATTTGTAATAGACCTCTTTGTCTTACATATGGCATCCTGAATATCTCTTAACCTTCATTTCTTTATGTTGTCATTAGACTTGTCTGGAGGAGCTTCTCCTCTTTTCTGATTTGATGATTCTATTAATTTGTGTGAGTTCAGGTGTCAGCTAATCACATTTTTAAACGTGTGTAAAATAAGGATACAGAAATTCTTAGAGTTGGACAGAGTTTTTAACCTTTGGTAAATTACATAAGTTTAATGCATGGCCTTTGTCAAGTATTAGACTGCTTTTGTCTTTTTTGCTTTCTGCCTTTCTGTTTCTAGGCCATTTTCAAAAGATAGGCTATGGATAGGTAATTTCCATATAGTTTTGATGGTATTTGATGCCTAAATAAGATACATAATACAAGTATATAAATATGTATAGGTTCTCTTATAAATAGAATTTCACCATAATCACAAATAGTTCTGTTGGAGATACTTGAGATTTTCATCCAAAAAATTATTATTTATTTTTCTGGCTGTTTTTTTCCTGAGACTTAGTGTAAAATAAAACATTTTATCTTTATTTTCCTAATTTTAAGTGTTCTTTGGAGTAATTATATGTACTTTTTTTTTTTTAAATAGGGAAAATTTGTTGGCAGATTGTTTGCAGGGTTGTTTTGTGGTGACATGCACACTATGTGCATTCATCAGCCTGGTGTGGTTGAGAGAGCAGATAGTCCATGGGGGAGCACCAATTTGGTTGGAGCACGCTGCCCCACCCTTCAATGCTGCGGGACATCACCAAAATGAGGTAACTCCCCTTCTCCAAAATTGATTTTACTTAGGTAGGTCATGAGAATTATTGTCTCTCTCTAAGACTCAAACTCTTGACTTCCATGTCCCTCATAAATGTTCTTTTGTTATTAGAAAGGAGGGCAGTGGAAAGGTTTGGGTGAAGATGAAGAGAGATGTGAAAAATCAAGAAAGTGTTGTTATAACTTTGCCTCTTAATTTTCTAGCTAGAGTAGGGACGGCATTGGGGGTATACTAAAGTCCGTGTGCACAATCTTACCCACTGAGCAGAAGTTTGAAAACATTTCCTCAAGTGTTTGTTAACAGAATTAAGTTGCGTATATGTATATATGTATGTGCATTTTTTAAAAAATGTATTTTCATCCCTGATGCTGTCAATAAAGACAAAGGCTGTCCTATAAGGAGGACTACAGAATGATGTTTTTAAGAGAGTAAGGTTTGTTAACCATTTTCTATAATGGTTTGTGAACTGTTAATCCGCTAAATTATACTGAACGAATATGTGCACTATGAAGTGAGGTTATGTTCCTATATACTAAAATTGATCCCACATCGGATACATTTAAAAAAGATGTCTTTGAAAGGTTTTCTTTTTAAAAAGAGTTTGGTAGAGTTTATATTTGTTTTCTAGTTTTTTGTTTGTTTTGTTTTTTTGAGATTGGGTCTTGCTCTGTCACTCAGGCTGGCGTGCAGTGGCATGATCCCACCTAACTGCAGCCTTACAACCTCCGGGCTCAAGAGATCCTCCTACCTCAGCCTCCTGAGTAGCTGGGACTACAGGCGCAAACCACCATGCCTGGCTAACTTCTTAATTTTATGTAGAGACAGGGTCTTGCTGTGCTGGCCAGGCTGGTCTTGAACTCTTGGGCTCAAGCAATCTGCCTGCCGTCGCCTCCCAAAGTGCCAGGATTACAGGCATGAGCCACTACACCTGGCCTAGTTTGTTTGTTTGTTTTAGCAAGAATAATGTGATTTGGAAACAGAGCAAAACAGACAAGTGGATCTAAATTTCTGGGCTTTTCTGTGATTTTAGGCTCCAGCAGGAGGAAATGGTGCAGAAAATGTTGCTGCTGATCAGCCTGCTAACCCACCAGCTGAGAATGCAGTGGTGGGGGAAAACCCTGATGCCCAGGATGACCAGGCAGAAGAGGAGGAGGAGGACAATGAGGAGGAAGATGACGCTGGTGTGGAAGATGCGGCAGATGCTAATAACGGAGCCCAGGGTAATGGCTGCTTGTGTGTCCTCAGTCTTCAGCACTGCAAATCTGTTCTCAACTTGCATTGAGGAAAAGGGCTGGCATTTTCAAATTTTAATGTTGTGAAGTTCTATTTCTAACTTATTTTTACTTTATTTTGGCAAACTGGCATTTATGGATGTACATAAATATGTTTTTTTTCTATGAAACAGCATGTTTTATGTTTTAAAATCCTTTTTACACAGGGACTTTTTTTATAGGATAGATAGGAAGAAATTATTTTTTAAGTTGGATTAGGTACTACTTTTTTTAAAATAAAGGACTTTGGTACAGATTTACCACATTCATTTGCTTCTGTCTTTCCATGTCCCTTGAGTCAGTGCAATTTTTAAAATTGAAAAAGAATCTTGAAGTGTATACTGCAGACAAGGTGCCATCCAAATAAATCAATGTCTCATTTTCTAGCAGTGTAAACTCTAGCATATAAAATAAGATCCAAGACAGGAGGTGGGTAGATCACTTGAGGTCGTCAGGAGTTTGAGACCAGCTTGGCCAACATGGTGAAACCCCATCTCTACTAAAAATACAAAAATTAGCTGGGCGTGGTGGCACACACCTGTAATCCCAGCTACTTGGGAGGCTGAGATCGGAGAATCACTTGAACCCAGGAGGCAGAGGTTGCAGGGAGCTGAGATCATGTCACTGCACTCCAGCCTGGGTGACAGAGCAAGATTGGGTCTCAAAAAAAAAAAAGATCCAAGACAGAGTCTGCCAGTCAGCTGTCGGTCACTCACTTCCCCTCCTCCCTCCCACCACAGTTTTTCTGTCAAGCTTTGTGCTGTCTCTAGGTCTGCTTGGCATGCCTGATACTTGATTGTCTCTTTGTGTCAGGCACTCTGTTAGACGCTGAGCATGTAACTGCGACCAAAACATTAGACTGCTGCATTCCTGGAGTTTCTGGTTTAGTGAAAAAGTAGGAAAGACATGTTGTGTGATAAGTGTTGTGCAGGTTGCTCTGAGGATGCCGTTGGGGAGAGACCTATTTAATTAATTTACTTTTTTTTGAGACAAGGTTTTGCCCTGTCACCCGGGCTGGAGTACAGTGGCAGGAACACAGCTCACTGCAGCCTTGACCTTTTGGGCTCAAGTGATCCTCCTACCTGAACTCCCCAAGTAGCTGGGACCACAGGTGTGTGCCACCATGCCCAGCTAATTTTGTTTTTGTTTTTGTTTTCCTTGGTAAAGATGGGTTCTCCCTGTTGTCCTGGCTGGTCTTGAACTCCTGGGTGCAAGTGATCCTCCTGCCTCAGCCTCCCAAAGTGCTAAGATTACAGGCATGAGCCATTTTGCCCAGCCGAGACCTGTCTTAAATAAGGTTTCCCAGGTAGCTCAGAGTACCTGGTATTTGAGCTGAGACCTCTGAAGGATGATGAAAAGTGGCTTGTGTAATGGTAACAGGGAACCTTTGCAGGGAGAGGTCAGAGGCTCTGCGAATACAGCTTGCTGCTACCTTTGGGTCTGGCTATTATTTCTCTCCCTTGATCTAATACAGTAGCTCCTAACTATTCTTTCTCCTTCCATTCTTGATCCACATAATTCATATTACTCTGCTGCCTTTAAATCTTTTAGTAGTTTTCCCATTACTAAAGAATAAAATCCAGACTCCACATTCCTCTTGTATGATCTGATTTCTGTCTTCTGCTACCCATATCATTACTCAGAATGTCCTCGTCCCCTGGTTTCCTTTTCTCAAATCTGCCAGATTCTTTCCTGGCTTAGAGCTATTGAATTCCTCTCTTTCACATAACCCTGTTTGTTCCCTTTCTGGCATTTATCTCAATCTAGGATTACATTACTTTATATGTAGTATTTATTTATATGTATGTTTTTATTCTTATTTGTTCCCTGACAAGCAAATACTCGGTATGGAAATGTGGCTTAGCTTCTCAACAACAGCTTACAAAGTACTAAGTTTTACTATTTTTAGTGCATTTTATTATTTTTTTATTATTTATTATTTTTAGTTCAAATTCCATTAGTAATCTTTAAATTGCAATTATATTTTCAGATGACATGAATTGGAATGCTTTAGAATGGGACCGAGCTGCTGAAGAGCTTACATGGGAAAGAGTAAGACCTTTTTCTGTCAAGTATCCTGGTGTTTTAATCCTAAAATATATTTTAAACTTTGTTATATTTAGATGTTATGGTTACAGTTGATGAAAAGTTACTGGAATTTTCATTCCTAGTGAAAGTTAAGTGATATACTGTTTGTGGTGAAAATATTGTGATGTTGATGGCTTTTTCTTCTCTCTTACGAAACCTTGTTCCATTTAGGAAATGTTTTACCTGAAATTGTGGACTTTTGAAAAACAAAATAACAATTTAAATTTAAATAGTATTTTCATGCTTCAGTTGACAAAATAATACAGTTATATTATGAAGTAGTCTTAATTAGCTCTATATCTTCAGTAACGAATCCAAGATGGAATTTTTTTAGACTTTATAAATCATGTAATTTTGAGTAAAAGGAGACTCAAAATATAAAACTGTCATTCAGAAACAGAAATTTTTTTATTTTCTGAAAATGATAGGAAGTAATGGAAAGTTGTGGATGGAGGACTATATTTAAAGATATTGAAAAGAAAATGAGGCTTTTCATAAATTAGGATAGAAAGTTCTGTTGAATCTTAATGCTTATCGTTTTTGTTTATTTTTAGATGCTAGGACTTGATGGATCACTAGTTTTTCTGGTAAGTGAAACTAATTAATTTATTTATGTATTTATTTTTATAACAGAGTCTCACTCTGTCACTCAGGCTGGAGTGCAGTGGCGAGATCTCGGCTCACTGTATCCTCTGCTTCCTAGGTTCACACCATTCTCCTGCTTTAGCCTCTCGAGTAGCTGGGACTATAGGAGCCGGCCACCACGCCCAGCTAATTTTTTGTATTTTCAGTAGAGATGAAGTTTCACCGTGTTAGTCAGGATGGTCTCAATCTCCTGACCTCGTGATCCACCCACCTCGGTTTCCCAGAGTGCTGGGATTACAGGCGTGAGCCACTGCACCCCGCCAAAGCGAATTCTTTTTAATAACAGAATTGGAGTTGTCTTAGTGATTCAGAAACTTCACATTTATAGTATGTAGTAAAGGTCAAGATGCCTTTTGGCTTTTGATTACTTTATATGTTGAAGATTGTATGTTTAGTGTGCTGAAAATATTAAAAAAGCATAAAGGTAATAACTATTTTTAAAAAATTATTAAATATTTGATTTTTAGTAAAGAAAATAAACTTCAAAGTTAATGGTAGTTAAAAAGAACTTGGTCTTCTTTTAAAGTTCCATCTTGCAGTGTTTATTGCCTGTACTGGTGGAAGCAAAGTGGTTTTTCATATTTACACAGTTAGACACCCCAGGCTGATGTTAGGTTTTCCTGTTTGCTGAACCCCACCTATCTTTACCTAGGAACTCTGCCTTATTAGTAAAGGTTGCAACTCTAAGGTGAGAGCAATTCTTTAAAGAAGTTGTTCTTTAAAGAAGAAATGATGCTGTTTTCAGGTCCTGTAATATGAAGTTATTTGCCATTTGAGATTTTTAAATAGCTTAAGATGACTTTGGCTGCAGGTAGCAGAACCCTACTGGTTGGAACATTAATAAAACAGGAAGTCCGGAGGAAGAATGAGCTTGAGGTTGCTTGATCCGTAAGCCCAACAATGTCCTCAGAGACCCAGATATCTCCATCTATCTCCTTTGTTGTCCTCAGTGTTGGCCTTCTCCTCAGGCTGGCTCCAGATGTTAACCAGAAGAGGATGTTGAATTTAGCAGTGTGTAGATTTTTAGGAACATATCTGGTATAATTCCACAGTTTAGTGGGAATGTGGTATTAATGAGCTTCTAGTCATGGTTTGATCACAGTCAGTATAGAAAGCATTATTTGGCCACATACTGATTTATATTTATTACCCTGCCAGTTCCTCATAAATGACGGACAGAAGTCGTTAAGGTAGTGGTGTTGACTGAAACCCATTTGAATTATTGAAAAAACTTTTGACAGGATGAATTCATTATTTTAGTAAAAAATATTTAATATGAAGACGTGTGCTAGCTATTGTGATAGGCACTGGGGAGTTCAGTGGTGAATGAGACAGGGTCCCTGTTCTCAAAGATGCACTATATTGAGGTAGAGAGAAATGCACATGTAAACAAGGAACGTTTTGGAGACTCAGTGACAAAAAGTGTGCACAGGACACAAGGGGCACAAAAGGGAGTTTGATTAGGTCTTTCTTAGTGGAGTGGAGTTTGTCAGCAGGAGATTTTCAGTGAAGATAACTTAGAGGTTGAAGCATAAAATATGTTGGGGATAGGGAAAATTTAGGAGCCCTTAAGGCAGAGAGGTTGAAAAAATTGAGCCAGCATGGTGAGAAGAAATGTAGTAGTCATTTACAAACTACCCTTCTTGCTGGTTGGATTTGTGGAAGATTAGGGGACCTGAACAGAGAAATCCTTTTTTTAGACAAAAGATCTTTCGAAGGATCATTTAACCTGATGGTTAGGGAAGGTCGTGGGCATAAATGAATGGACTTGGGCAGTCTGGTCAGTGTCAGCATGGGGCATAGCTAAAGTGTGTGCAACATGGCTGAAGGAATAGGTAGACAGCTGTCACCTTAGAGGCGACAGTATGTAACTGTGGGAGGCGACCAGATGGTCAGGTGAGACAGGACAAAGAAAATTAGCGCACCACAGGGAGTGGGGGGACCAGAGGGAGATCAAGCTAGAGTTTTCCAAAGGAGAGGTAGCCAGGCAGTAGTGGCCTTGTAGGTGTCAAGAAAGAAGAGTAGATGTTGAAAGAAACACTGCAGTTGACATTAACGTGATGTTTACAATTAATCTGGCTTTCAAATTTTTCTCCATTTGAAATTTTTGGTGTCATTTGATTTAAATGAAATCTGGTATTTATGAAAATCTATGTAATTTGTGTTAGATTATTTCTAAAAAGGAAGTATTTATAAATGAATTTGTTTTTTCTACATGTAACATTTTTGAGTTGTATTAGGCTTAGTTGTATGAGCTAGCTAATGAAAAATGAAAATTACATATTATGTCTAGATTGAAATCCCAAAACAATAGAGGGAAAATTTCAATCTTACCTGTTTTTAGTATTTGGTTCTAGCTAAATAAGTGGAATAGTCCAATTAAACATATATTAAATATGAATTGAATATGCTTTGTTGATGCTTTTTTTCCTTTAGGAACATGTCTTCTGGGTGGTATCTTTAAATACACTGTTCATTCTTGTTTTTGGTAAGTTGTGTTTGTGCTTTTATTTTTTTATAGTATTATGGTAGGAATTTAGTTTTGTAGGAGCTTTGTTATAGATTTTTTTTTAACATAAGAATAAATACTAAGTGGTATATGAAAATAGTTTCAGATACAAATACCTGTATAGATAGGCCCCAGACAGACAGATACTTTCCTAAGCAGCAGTGACTGTAGTTACCTACTTGTCTCTCCTTCTGTTTTTGTTTTTGTTTTTTTTTTTTTTTGGTAGAAGCTGGTTTTAGACTGACTTGAGAATACACAGTTTCCCACTTCTGGAATTACTTTTATGCTGATTGTCTTTGTGCTCTTCCCTATGGTGGAAGATCTTGTTTTCATCTGTCAAAATCCTGACCATTGCCTTCTAGAGATCTTGACTTGGGAGCTGTTACCAGAGCTGGGTGTAGGCTTGTGGGAAGACAGTAAGCCTTCCCCAAATGTGAGCCCCCCTTAGAACCAGATTCCAGGACTTGCAAAATCACTTCCAAGCACTTCTGTGGGGGCAGCTGTGAGGATTCTTTGACAACACACGGTGGTCCTTCCCATTGGGAGTAATTAGAGAAAGAAAGGCAAGGTTGAGGAGACACTGTTGACAGAGGTTTTTCTCCTTACCAGAAGAGGTAAGGAAAACTAAGTTGAGTAAACCAAGGCCTTAGAATTCAGTTTCTGTATCTCTGAGGGGTGAGGAGGTAGAGTGTGATAGAATGGGGTTACTGTTAGGTGTCCTATGGTTTGTGTCTCAGAGACCTCAGGCAACATATCCCTATATAGGGATAATCTATGAGAAATTCCTTCCTTAGTACCTAGGATTTACCCCTTAGTTCTGCTGAAGAGGATGAGGAGCGATTTCCCGGCTTCTTCCACCAAATTGCAAGTTATTTGCTCTGTTGGGGACTACATTGTGACGTGTAAAGCAGATGTCTTTAATAAGAAGCCATGTGGTGTAAGGGGCTTTGAATATTTGGACTGAGGATGAGACCAAAAATTAATTTCTGTATATTATGTGTAAAAGAGGAAGAGAAATTTACTTGTATTTTATAAACAGTATTTCGGATACTTCCATTGATTTCTTAATTTTTAGTAGATACTCACAAAATTGCAGATTTAATAGGAAGCTCATCTTTGTTCACCTTGCATGTGGGGGTGTCTGTATGTTATTCTGCATTTATTTTTCATTATGTGAAATAATTCATATATAGACTGAAACTGTTTTGATCTCGACTATTTGTTTTTGAGAGAAAAAATGATCTATAGATTTAGGTCTTTACTCTTGCAGAAAAGCTTAATGCTAAATTAATGTTTGTAGAAACAGGTCACATTTAAAACATGAATTATACAAATAAGAACTCTCATTTATAGAAATCTAAGTAAATAGAAATTATAGAAATCTAAGTAAAGCTTTTTCTAATCCAACCTCCTGAGCTTATACTGCGAAAAGAATTTTCTTAGTAAACTTATGTTTTTTATATAGTTAGGATCTTTTGGAAATGAAACAAGTTTTCTTCCATTAGGAACATACTTTTTCTTTTAATCATTGGGATTAAACACCCTCCTGTTTTTTTCCTGCATGGGTTGCTCTGTTGGAAGTTTTCTATAGGCAGTGTTTTGACTCTTGTGGTCATACGCTTTGCAGAAATATAATTTGACAAAGCTGTGGTCTTCCAGTAGAAGGTGACAATCCTGAGAAATTGTCCTTTTTCCATTAGTTTGTGTGTAATGGGATAGAAAACTATTGTCACAACTGGTGTTTAAGGTTAATAATTATTTAATACCTCTGCAAATAGAGTTAAAACTTACCCTTCCCAGGGGCCTAGTTGAGTCGTCTCCAGACTGGGATATGAGAGCAAAATAGGCAAAATTCAACATACAGCTTTTTTTCTTACCTTTTAAAATTTCTTCTGCTTTATATTACACACAATATGTTAGTAAACTAATACATATATATATAATTTATAAATAAATTTAAATATATTGGGAATACATGTTCAAAAAGATTCCTACCCATGAAATAGTGAGAAAGGGTTAGAGGCCAGATCCCTAGTAGGTTCACTCTGACTTCTGTGATTGAGTTTCTCACTTCCCTGGTAATCTGTGCTGTCAATTTATTTCTACCATAAAGAAAAGATAACTGCATTTTATTATTAAGAATGAAGTAAAATTTAGCCAGAAAGACTTGAGGAAAAAGAAGACTATAAAAATTCTTACTATAAAGATTTTAAAAAGATTTTCATACATAGCTATAATGCCATTATCTCACCTTACAAAATTATTAGAATTTAATATTTTCCAATAATCCATCATATTCAAACTTTCTGGGTTGTCCCTTGGATACCATTTTGCAGTTGGTTTCTTTGAATGAAGATCCAAATAAGGTCCACATACTACTTTTAGTTGTTAAGTCATAGGTTATTAATCTTTTAATCTAGAGTACTCTTCTCTTTGGTTCCCCCAACTCACCCTATTTGGCCATTGATTTGTTGCTGGGATTAGGTTAACTGATCTTGCAGCATGTCGTGTTTTACATCTGTCCATCTGCTTCCCAGATGTCCTCTGCCTTTATCCTTTGTCTCCCATATTTCTCTTAAACTAGAAGTCAGATCTGAGGGCCTTAATTAGATTCAGGTTCAATACATCTGGGACAAATCCATCACTGGTCACACTGTGCCTATTAATAGTGTATGTGAGGAGCTGAGATACTTATGTTGGATTATCCACTTTTATCACTGGATTCAGGTTATATCAACCTGGGCCTCTAATCTTAGGTTTTATTTTTCCCTTTACCATTAGAAGATAATCTGTTGGGAGTGATATTTTAGTGTCTTACAGTGTTCCATCAACCTTCCACTTAATGATTTTTGTTAGCTCTTAATGGTCCTTGCCATAATCACTTACTGTGTTAGGGGTGGCAAAATGGTGATTTTTAAATTGTCATTTTTTACATTTATTGGCTGACTTTTCTGTAAAGAAGAAGAAATTCTTATCAATTTGGGACTATTCAGTCAACCTGAACCTGTTTGTCCAGGACAAGTAGGACAGATGCTTATTTTTTTCTCATTAATTTTAGTTTTCAGAATAAGGAATTGGCACATTAACTATTCCAGTTGGTGTGCTAACTGCTTCCAAAACATGAAAGTGTTTTATTTGATGTTGCTTTTTCTCTTTTCATGATTATTATTTTGGGCTTTTCCTTTTTTGAGCATCATAAGCTCGTGGATTTGTATATGTTCAGTGTTTTTCCATCAGTTTTGGTCATTATTCTTTTTGATGCTCATATTCTCTCTTTGGCCTGTTTTCACAATGGTTTCTCTGTTGATTTGGCATGGCCTTATTAGACCTTAATAACTTGGTTGTTCTCTAGTTACAGAGAATGTCCTAGGCAGTGTATTTTTAGCCTAGTTCTGGAATCTTTCATTTCTCCAAGAAGCCCTGGTTCCTTTTAGTGGCGGATTGTAGTAGGAGTGTACATTGTTTTGATGTTGAAGTTTTCATTGAGTTTTTTCCCCCCTTTTAGCATTTTGCCCTTACCATATTGGTCATTTCTCCCTTGTTGGTTTGGGATTTGAAGAACACGTGAGTATAATACTTTTACAAAATTATTTTCATTCATTACTCCCAAATGTGATTATTAATCAAATAGCATTCTAAAGAGTTACATCATTTCTTAATTGGCATTATGCAAGGGAATAGTTAGGCAATACCGTCTCTCTTTTTTTTTTTTTTTAAATAACAGTGGCTCAAGAGTTAGTGGTCTTGTTGCCAACTAATGAAAATGTGCTCTGAAATCCATTCAGCTGGGTGGGCCTGAGGCATCCTGGGGGGAAGTTTCCCACAGGCTGATTTTCCGTCCATCTCAAGAACTTGTATGTTCACTTCTTTCCCTTTCTGCAGGTGCCCCCTGCTGAATTTAGAAAAGTAACAATATATCAATCAATTAAAAAAGGATAGACTATTTTGGAATGATGGGTTGTAGTGTTTTCTAGAGTGCTTTAGTTTTGACATTTTATCAGTATTCTCCAGAGTTAAATAAATTTTGGAAGGATTATTATTTCTCTGTTGGGTCCCTAGAAGAATTTAGTCTTTTAAGGAGGAGCTGACTATCTGGGATCATATGCTCAGTTTGTATATATAAGATCTAAGAGATCACATTCTGAAGTGTTCTAATATTTAGTACACATCTGATTCTCACTAGTTGAATGCAAGAACTTGAAAGGTTCAGATAAGTGTTTTGAAAATTTTTGACTTTCCAAACTATTGCCACTTGCTATCTGAAACTCAGAAATCAAAAAATACTGATAGGCATTGTTTGTTACTTTCAAAATTCTTTCTGTAAGTTGAGAATGGTACAGATTTGCAGAGCAAGGGAAACTTGAGCAGTTACTTCTAGTGGTAAGAAATGAGGGGCTGGGCTATTACCCGGCTGGTGGGTGACTTGGGCAGTGTGTCCTGCTTTCAGTGGTTAGCTTGTAGCAGATCTGCTTTCCAGTGAGAGTAGAGGGCAGGCTGTTGTATTACAGGGCTCTTGTTTTTGTGAAATGTAATTCACTCTACTGTTATTTTGTCTCCTTGGGTAAAGTGTTATTTAATTTTTCTTCATTTTTTAGTAGTTTGTAACAGTCAGTGAGAGAATTTGGTTTTCAGAGATGTCATCCAAAGGAGATTTTACAGTTGTTTTCTAGTTATAAATTGTCTCGACAATTCTCTTCAGTCATTTTGATTGTTTAATATGGGAAAACTGGGGTGTAGGACATGTCGTGAAATTAAATTTTATTTACTTTTTTCTTATTTCCAGGTCCAAGCATCTCATTTTGAAGGCCTAATCACAACCATAGTTGGGTATATACTTTTAGCAATAACATTGATAATTTGTCATGTATCCTTTAATGAACCAACTTGGGTGTTCCCTAATGTTATTCATACCAAAGAACTCTTCATTAATGGTAAAACTTGTCTCTCCTTGTCCTCTTAGTAAAAGTTGTTGGTATTTGCAGTAAGGGTCAGTGGACAAAATGTGAAATAAATTAATTCTGTCAAAAAATACTAAATGTTGGCTAAGTAGTTACCTGTTTCATTGTACCTTTAAATACTCAGTTTTTCCTTGACCTGATGCTGTAGGGCTTGGCAACTCTTGTGAAATTTCATAGATCTCGTCGCTTACTGGGAGTCTGCTATATTGTTGTTAAGGTAATTCCTGTTATAACTTAAAATTGGAAATGATTTCTCCTACATTTGGGTGATAACTGATGACCTTTATTTTCGCTTAAGGTCTCTTTGTTAGTGGTGGTAGAAATTGGAGTATTCCCTCTCATTTGTGGTTGGTGGCTGGATATCTGTTCCTTGGTAAGTTGAGTATTAATTATTGTATAATAGCATAATTTCAAGGCTTCAAAAAAGGAAGTGTTCAGCATGGGTTCTTTTTAAAGAAAGTAAATACTTGATAATTTGCTTATTCTTTTGGCAAGTGTATCTGTATAGAGTCTTAATGTTAATTTTTCTTGAGTACCTGAGTTTTTGAGGCTTTGTGCAAATTTTTTGTGTCAGGACATTTTGGATGGAATCTTTCTATTAACTAGTGGAGAATTGTATTGCCCATTTTGCTCTCTTAAATTTTTATAGATAATGCCAAGACGTTATATACATAGAGTGATTTGATAAGGAAACTGTCTTTGTAGTAATAAATTTAACCCTAATCATTTGATTTAACTAAGATGCTCAGTCTTGATTATAATCTTTAATTGCTGTTAGTAATAATCAGTTTTTGATTTTTTCAAAAATGTTTTATGTATGGAAAAGCTGTCTTTGGTTCTGAGATAACATTTACCCTCCCATACCTTACTTTTAAAACTTCTCAAGAATGCAGACCTATAACCAAGAAAAGAAGGTTTTATATTCATCAAAAATAGTTCTTTAATAGAATCAATATTAATAAAGCTTTTACCAATTGGTTTATCATTCTTTATATTTGAAGCAGTAGCCAATCTTGTTTGTAGTTCTATGTCACCGTGGAATGACATTAAGTGAACTGCAGTTGTAGAAATTGTTCCTTGCATGTGTATTGATTATTTATTTCCTAGAAGATGAAAATGTTAATTTGGCAAATGTAGGGGGCACAGATCTCTCTTACCTGTCCTCTTTTGGCTCAGGAAATGTTTGATGCTACTCTGAAAGATCGAGAACTGAGCTTTCAGTCGGCTCCAGGTACTACCATGTTTCTGCATTGGCTAGTGGGAATGGTGTATGTCTTCTACTTTGCCTCCTTCATTCTGTTACTGAGAGAGGTGAGTCCACAGGGAAATGCTGATGCTATACATTTGTAAAAAGGACTTTTGCTTTCACCACCAGTCATGTCTCAACGGCTATGATTTCCTACCTAAATCATATTCTTTACTATTTTATTCTAAGAGGGAATAATTTATAGGGGACTTTGACTTAATTGCTTTTAACTTTTTCAGTTGTTTGTCTCCATAATTGGCAAGTTTTAATATTTCTGTCTAAGTGTGAAAGACGATTCAACTGAGGAAAAAAATAAGAGTACTCACTTTATCATACTTTGTATATACTTTAGCCATCCTCTAATACAGATTCTTGGAATTTTGTATGATGTGAGTGTATCTCAGACCTCAAGGAACTGTAATGATGGAAATAACCAAAAGGATATGGTTTTGCAGGATCGGATATTTAAAGTCACTTTGATTTAGGCACCTTAAGTATAGAATTACAATGAGGGTCCTTTATGATTCCAGTTCACTGGCTTGATGGGTTACCTTTATTTATTTATTTATTTTTTGATACTGAGTCTTGCTCTGTTGCCCATGCTAGAATGTAGTGCCATGATCTCGGAACCTCCGCCTCCTGAGTTCAAGTGATTCTCCTGCTTGAACCTCCCAAGTAGCTGGGATCATTCCCGGCTAATTTTTGTATTTTTAGTAGAGACAGGGTTTTACCATGTTGGCCAGGCTGTTCTTGAACTCCTGACCTCAAATGATCTGCCCACCTTGGCCTCCCAAAGTGCTCGAATTACAGGTGTGATTCACTGTGCCTGGCCTAATACCTTTATTAATCCTATTTTTGGAATCTGGTTCTAAGTGATTTGAAGATGATGAAAGCAGATGAGTATTTCATTAGTGTACATGTTAAGCTCAGTCGTTCCCCAAATAGTGAATGCTCACTGTGTGCCAGACACTATCCTGTATTGTGGGGTATCAGTGAGAAACAAAGGCACAATTCCTGTTCTCCTCAATTTTATAGCCTGAAAATGAATACAGCATTGAAAATGTCAGCTTACACGGAGACTGGTGATGGAGATGTGCAGGGTGTGGAGGAGCAGGTTGACAATTCCAGTGGGAATGGAGCACAAAAGCACAAAGGCTGAATGCTGCACTTGGTGTACTTTGTTCTTTGAAAGATTGCAGGAAGAAGAGGAGGGGTCAGGGGCCAAAGCATTCTCCTGAATCATATAGTATAATTTCAGTAAATTCTCTTGGTAACTAAAGCTTTCATTCTTTCTTTGAAACAAATGATTGAGAACTGAAGCAAGTACAGAAATGTGTTTCTTAAAAATGTAATTGTATGTGAACTCCAGATTACTTCATTAAGTGAATAAAATGCTTTATAATGATTTTTTTCATTTTATCAGTGTGGTGGTTTTTGTTGATATAAAATTTTAGTATTTGGAACTTAGATAGAACCTTAGAAATCACACACTGTAACCCCGTTGTTTAGGAGATGGAGAATAGAAGTTTGGGCAGATTAGATGCGTTACAGAGGGTAACTCAGTGAGTTTGGACCACATAGGACTATTACCCAGACTCCTCCTTTACCCCATCACCTACAGCCTCTTGGGTGATGATTTTCATTCACAGGGGGAAGGCATAGGTAGTAAAATGAAGACACTGAGGCTGTAGGGTTTCTTAATTAAGATAACTCTGTGGAAGTGTAAGACTGAAATTCAGAACTTCTATTTAGGACATTTATAAATTGCAACATAACCCTTTTACTATAGTAATGGTTGTATTTATTTTTCATCTCAGAGGTCTAGATTTCTTGACACATTTGACCCAATGAGTGGTTTTTTTGTTTTGTTTTGTTTCCAGTGAATGCTGATGTCAAAGGACATCATCAGACACAGGGTACTTTTCATAAAGATTCTGGTTTAGGAACTTACTTTCCTAGGAATACCATATACATTTTCTGGGGCCCACTTTAGTTGCCAGAATAATTTTAAGTGCTTATTTTTCTGTTAATGTTTTAGCTCATATATAGAATTTGAAGACACTGGTGAATATTTATAGTATTTAAAATGTATTTGCAGGTACTTCGACCTGGTGTCCTATGGTTTCTAAGGAATTTGAATGATCCAGATTTCAATCCAGTACAGGAAATGATCCATTTGCCAATATATAGGCATCTCCGAAGATTTATTTTGTCAGTGGTAAGAAGATGTTTCCATTGTTTTTTTGAATAAAGTATGCTAACCTATAGTTTTGTTTAGGTTTTTTTTTTTCCAGTTCTCAAGCGGGCTGATAAGAGTATATTGAATAATATAGTCATCTAAGCCTGTGGTATTCAATTGTCCAGTAGCTGTTTTATTGGTTACTTGGTTAAAATACATATGTAAAAAGATATTTACTAAAAGGAAGATGCCATCTTGTTCTATCATAGTATAATTCAGGGGTCCCTAGCCCCCATGTTTTGGCTGGGTACTGGTCCATGTCTGTTAGGAAATGGCTGCACAGCAGGAGATGGGCAGCGGGCAAGCAAGCATTACCACCTGAGCTCCACCTCCTGTCAGATCAGCCTTGGCATTAGATTCTCATGGGAGCGTGGACCCTATTGGGAACTGTGAGTGTGGGGGATCCAGGTTGTATGCTCATTATAAGAATCTAATGCCTGATGATCTGAAGCAGAACAGTTTCATCCTGAAACCCCTTGGAAAACTGTCTTCCATGAAACTGGTCCCTGGTGCCAAAATGGTTGGGTACCACTGGTATGATTGATTGCTGAATTACGGTTGTCTGAATTATGTTTAATTTGCATTGAAGCAATGGAGACTTATTGCTGTCTTGTAAATTAAACTCTTAACAGAAGCATGTCAAAGTTTCCCCACCTGGAAGAAGAAATTACATAGTTAAATCTAATTTATTTCTTTCTTCCTTTCTTTTTTTTTTTTTTTTTTGAGATGGAGTTTTGGTCTGTCACCCAGGCTGGAATGCAGTGTGGTACGATCTCGGCTCACTGCAACCTTCACCTCCGGTTTCAAGTGATTCTCATGCCTCCATCTCCCAAGTAGCTGGGATTACAGGCGCCCACCACCACGCTCAGCTAATTTTTTGTAGTTTTAGTAGAGACGGGGTTTCACTATGTTGGCCAGGCTGGTCTCGAACTCCTGACCTAGTGATTCACCCGCCTCGGCCTCCCACAGTGCTGGGATTACACCCAGCCGTAAATCTAAGTTTTTCTAAAATAAAATTCTTAAAGTAACATTATGTGCTTTGAAAGCTTTTGTAGCCATTTACATGAGGTCAAGTCTTAGCTGGTTACAAGTGATTTATTAAGTTGCAGGCATTTCTGCTGCTTCATTTTAAGTTTCTATCTCATTTCTTAGGTAGCAAGCAGTGATTATCCTTTGTGGCTTCCGTTTTAGCATTTGTGTCCTAGATGGGAGGTCCTTACAGGAAGAAGGGCAGGCATCTTGGGAAAACATTTTTATACAAAATGACTCAGGGGTAATGTGTAGAGTGGGAACCACTTGGGTTTTGAGTAGATACAGGCCTGGACTGCATGTTGCTTGACTGTGTTCAGAAGTCTGCCTGTCTTGCACAGGAGTGATTGACTCTTATAGTGGTGTCATACCCTGTTTCGTTCTGCAGATTGTCTTTGGCTCCATTGTCCTCCTGATGCTTTGGCTTCCTATACGTATAATTAAGAGTGTGCTGCCTCATTTTCTTCCATACAATGTCATGCTCTACAGGTAAGTTTTAAAAATTCAGAATAGCTTTACTAATTTATCTCTGTTAGAGGTTTGATATTCAGATTACATTAAACGTTAAAAACATTTCTTACAGATAACTAGAAATCATCTGACAGTTAAATATTGCCTATTCTACCTTTATTTTTATTATTTTTAAAATTAAGCTTAATGTTTAAAAAATTTTCTGGACCTTTTCCACTTTGCATAAATTTTGCCTTATTCTAGATCAGATAAGCATTAGTAGTTGCATTTTCTAAAGGAAGATGTTTATTTTTTCTGCACATAAAGTATGCATTTACACAGCATTGAAATGTTTTATCATACCTAAGGAGAGTGTATTAGCATCATCTTTATTTTGAAAAGCACATTATGAAGAATAAAGCCAGAGTTGCACATTTAATTATTAAAAATAGGGTACAAAGCTTGTAGATAGAAACTCTTTTTTGCTTTAAAATCTTACGTGGGCTAAGGCTGGGCGCAGTGGCTCAAGCCTGTAATCCCAGCACTTTGGGAGGCCAAGGCGGGTGGATCATGGGGTCAGGAGATGGAGACCATCCTGGCTAACATGGTGAAACCCCATCTCTACTAAAAATACAAAAACAAAATTATCCAGGTGTGGGGGCGGGCGCCTGTAGTCCCAGCTACTTGGGAGGCTGAGGCGGGAGAATGGCCTGATCCCAGGAGGTGGAGCTTGCAGTGAGCCAAGATTGTGCTTTCCAGCCTGGGTGACAGAGTGAGACTCCGTCTCTTTAAAAAAAAAAAAAAAAAAAAAAATTTAGGTCGGCTGGGCATGGTGGCCCATGCCTGTAATCCCAGCACTTTGAGAGGCCAAGGTGGGCGGATCACCTGAGATTGGGAGTTTGAGACCAGCCTGACCAACATGGAGAAACCCTGTCTCTACTAAAAATACAAGAAAATCAGCTGCGCATGGTGGCACATGCCTATAATCTCAACTACTTGGGAGGCCGAGGCAGGAGAATCACTTGAACCCAGGAGGCAGAGGTTGCGGTGAGCCGAGGATCGTGCTATTGCACTCCCGCCTGGGCAACAAGAGTGAAACTCCATCTCAAAAAAAAACTTAAGCCATCCGGAAACCTACCGCTACCGGTAGTCTCTACCACTCATCCTATATGCTCTTTCTTTAGGGATTTGCGTTATCCCCATAGTCATTATCCTAATTGCGGGCAAATTGGATTATTTCCTCAAATTTACTTCTAATAAGTCTTTAAAGTATTGTCAATTCTAATTTCTTAAAATCTCTTACTAATGTAACTTGATTTGCCATTTAGTAACTAATTTAGGCCTTCCTCTTGCTCTCCATTCATCTGCAACACTTCTGCCTCTAGATTCTCTAGAACTTTGATTATTTTACCCCTGTGTTTAAAAGTTGTCAGCATTTCCTCTGTAATCTATGTGATATCTACACCATTTAGAATGAGATGCAAGGCTTGGCATAATCTCATGTTGCTTTTTCAACATCTTGTGTCAGCATTGACTGACTTGAATTTTTTAAATTGTGCTACACTGCCATTGAGGCTCCCCTGATTTACTTAGCTGTTTGTCTTTTTCTCTCTGTTTACAATAATTTTCTTGTCCATGTTTGAGTGGCAAGCATTTGATCTTCTTTTTAAAATCCAGATTAAGGTTTTTAAATTTTATTTTTTATGAGAAAGAGTCTTGCTGTGTCATCCAGGCTGGAGTGCAGTGGTATGATCATGGCTTACTGCAGCCTCAACCTCCTGGGCTCAGGTGATCTTCCCACTTTCGCGTCCTGAGTAGCTGAGAGTACAGGTGCAAGCCACCACACCTGGCTAATTTTTGTATTTTTTGTGGAGACCAGGTTTCACCGTGTTGCCTGGGCTGGTCTTGAACTCCTGAGCTCAAGTCATCTGCCTGCCTCAGCCCCCCAAAGCGTTAGGATTACAGGCATGAGCCATTGTGCCTGGCCGTCATTCCATTCTTTAAAATCGTCTTCATCGTTGTATTTCTTTTTATAGCATTTGTTAAATTACTTTACAAATACGTATTGTTTTATCCAAGATGGCTGAAATCATGTCTTATTTAGGTGTTTTTCTCTCTTTTTTTTTTTAATTAAAAAAAATGTTTTGTGGAGACAGGGTCTGACTATGTTGCCCAGCTGGTCTTGAATTCCTGGCCTCAAGCAATCCTTCCACTTTGGTCGCCCAAAGTGCTGGGATTATAGGTGTGAGCCACTGCACCTAGCCTCTTATTTGGATCTTAATGCTTTGCATAGGAACATGATTATTCAAAGATAAAAGCTTTATTGTACACAGAGTAAAATCTCAAATTTGTATTTTATTAAATTAGAATTGGAAAATACTTATATCCTGATTCTTTAAAGTGGCAGAAAAAATACCAGTAAGTAGTTTAAAATGCAGCATCAGTTTATGACTTTTAAAATCGTTACTCTTTTGTGATAAAACTTTATTTTTCTACACTTAGAACTTTTATAGATTTGGAGGATTTCTTACCTTTTAGTTCATGTACAGTATGTATGATTCCAGTCATAAGAGAACCAGGAAACACACAGAGGTTCAGCTTTATATGTTGTTGGGATAAACCCATTGCGGTGATCAGTTATACATAGAAGGTTAGAGTTTTTGTGCTATAGCAGTATTTAGTTCATTCATCCATTAAACAAAATTGAGAGCCCTTATATGCCGGGTACTTTTCAGTGTGCTAGGGACATAACAGTGAAAAAAACAGAATCAAGAAAACATCCTGCTCCAGTAGAGCTTACATTTTAATGGTGGAGATAGACATTAAAATAGATGAAATGTACAGCGATGCCAGTGGTCATAAGTGCTATGGGGGAAAATTCAAGTTGGGAAAGGGGATAGAGAGTGGGCAGGATAGGGTGACAATTTAGGAGGCGTGACTGGTAAAGACCTGAGGGGGTGACAGTTGAGGAAAGTCCTGAAGGAGTTGAGAGAGTAAGCCACGTGGATCCCTGAAGGCAGAATATTCTTGCAGAAAGTAGGTGTGGTGGCACCCAGGTCTGTTTGAGGACCTGCAGGAGGCAAGTTTGTCTGCAGTAGAAGGAGAAAGGCAAAGAATTGGCCTTGAAGTCAGGTCATGGAGAAAGAGTCTTGTAGGACATAAGCACTTTGGCTTTTACTTGAGTGAATTGAGGAGCTCTTGGAAAGCTTTGAGCAAAGGAGTGATCTAACTTAGTTTAAAGAGGATCATTCTGACTGCTGTGATGAGAGGAAACTAGGTTGGAGTGGCTGGGTCAGAAACAGGAAGCCAGCTGGGAGGATAATATGGTGATCCTGGTGAGAGGTGAGGGTGGCAGAGATGAAGGGGAGGTAGCAGTGGAGGCCATGAGAAATTTTTAGGTTATTGTTAAGGTACAGTCAAAAGGATTCTCTAGCTGTTTGGATGTGAGGTGTAAAAGGAAGGAGTGACCTTTTGTGTAACATGCTACTAATGTAGCAAGTGAGGAGAGAACCAAGACCTACCTATCAGTTTAGCAAAATGAAAGTCGTTGGTGACCCTTATCAGAAACAATTTGGTGGAGTTTGTGGGGAAAGCCTCACTGAGTTGGAGAGAGAATGAAAGGAGGGGTAATAAAGATAGTAAGTTTATTAGACTCTTAAGAAGTTTTGTTGTAATCCCATTAAATAGTAGTCATATGCAAAATACAATTCACATTATCAATCCTGGCTCTTTCAGTGATGCTCCAGTGAGTGAACTGTCCCTCGAGCTGCTTCTGCTTCAGGTTGTCTTACCAGCATTACTTGAACAGGGACACACAAGGCAGTGGCTGAAGGGGCTGGTGCGAGCGTGGACTGTGACCGCCGGATACTTGCTGTGAGTATGAGCAGTTGACTTCTTGGACGTGCATGTCATTTGTGACTATTGAATAACCTTTCTGGAAAAAGTATGTAGAAAAATTAGTTTAAATAAAAGACAATTTAGTAATACTTGCAAGTGCATATGATACTTCTAAATAAAAAATTTTTTTTTATCATTGTCCATCTTTTCATGGAGAATATATGCATTATTTTTGCCCTCTTATAGAAGTTTGCTGCTCTTCCAGCTTTCATGGAGTAAATGTCTTTTTTTTAAGTGCATTAAAAACAAACCAGTTTACCTTTATTTAGACCAACTAACTTACCTTTGTTTAGTGCTCATAACCTGGTAAATGGGTTCTTCTCAGATTTGATTTCTCAATCTTTAATGAACATATTGCATTGTTTTCTTTTTTCAAGCTTTATATACTCTATATTTATTTAAAAGTTGAATCTTTAAAAATTTTTCAGTTTGGCATCTTGTAGGTATCTTAAAGATGAAGTACAGATCTGGTTATATTTGCTTGAACATCTGTCCTTCTCTAACTGCTTCCTCCCCTAGTCTCAGTTTTGAGTTAGCTGATGTATAGCTTGGAGGTTTTACAAATTTATAGCTTGTAGCTACATGTTGCAGTAGTCATCGGTAGAGAAGATAAGAAGTTTTCCTCCTGTAGATCCTTAACAATATATTGCACATTGTAAGTATGTACTTACACCTTGTGCTTGTAAGTACTTACATTTTGTACTTACAAGTGTACTTGTAAGTATCTTGTACATTGTACTTTTTTCTTTCAGTTGTTGATTTCTTCTCAGATACTGGCTGAAGAAAACATAAAATAGGTTGAACTTATGGGGTATTCTACAAGTTAATTAACATTAAATTTAGAAAGGTTTAATTTAAAGCAGGTACGAACATTTAGACCAAAATGAGGTAATAATGTGTACAAATTCTGTATTGTACATTTTCTGCCCTTAGTAGTATATATGAAGAAAATGAGTGTCATGTCTGCCATTTTATTGTGACCTGAAGTGAGACTTGTTACTGATGTAATTTTTGCACAGGGATCTTCATTCTTATTTATTGGGAGACCAGGAAGAAAATGAAAACAGTGCAAATCAACAAGTCAACAATAATCAGCATGCTCGAAATAACAATGCTATTCCTGTGGTGGGGGAAGGCCTTCATGCAGCCCACCAAGCCATACTCCAGCAGGGAGGGCCAGTTGGCTTTCAGCCTTACCGCCGACCTTTAAATTTTCCACTCAGGGTAGGTACTGTACAGACTTAATCACATATAGAGGTTTTTTGTTTTTTTGTTTTTCAAATTGCTGTTGAGAATTGGTGCTGTTAGCATGCAGTCCTCTGTATAGACATGTTCCACATGTTATTACCCTCATTATCTAACGTAAATGATCAGGTAAGTTTATCAAATTTCAGAGATAAGTCACAGAGTTGGGATTCCCTCGGCTCTTGCTCCCTATTTAAGAGGAAAAGACTCCACAGTAATTAAGAAACTAATGTTATTGATACATTTCAACAATGTGTCAGGAACTAGAATGGGCATTTTGATGTTCTCTCATTTAATCTCCACTCAAATACTGTAAAGTATAGGCGATAATTTCATGTTTATAGTTGAGGAAACTGAAGGCAGTATTGGTTAAGAATGTGCCTATTCCATGTTCTTTAAACTAGCAAGTGATCAATCTTTGTGCAACTCAGAATGTTGTCAGAAATGTAAGCTGATGACTGCTATATGATTACAGTGAAGTCATCCTTCATTTATATCGTCTGTTATTTTAAAATGCCCTTTAATAATGAGATGGACTTGTGAGTCTGATCATTTTAAAACGTGGGCAGGTTATTTAACCTCTCAGCCTCACATTTCTTTTTTTGTAAAAATAGTCATTATTATACCTTTGTATATTACTGTAGGTCACGTGTTCAGTCAGTCATTCAGCAAACATGTCTTAAGTGTCTATGATTGATATTTTCAGTGTCTGTGAGGATATAGAGAGCATACGTGGTCTTTGCTCAGAAAGAGCTTACAGTCTACTCAGAGATGAGAAAGGCAGTGGCAGATTTGGGTTCTCATGCTGGATGTTTACAGTGGGTGCTATGACTCCTTCAATCAAGAACCACTTGTTCTTAATATGGGCCCAAAGGAATCTTCCTAGAATAGGTGGTGCCTGAACTGTCTTAAACATTGAGAGACCTGGCAGAGAGTGAAAAAAAGGAAGTGGGAAGGACATTCCAGAAATATGTCAGGACTAGGGCACATTAGGCATGGTGCGCTTGGAATTGCAGATAAGGGAGTTGTGTTGTTTTGTTTTTGAGACAGGGTCTTGCTCTGTTGCCCAGGCTGGGGTGCAGTGTTGCGATCCCGGCTCACTGTAGCCTTAGCCTCCTGGGTTCAAGTGATCCTCCTACCTACTCAACTGTCCAGTTAGCTGGGACCACAGGTACATGCCACTACACCTGGCTAATTTTTATATTTTTTATTGAAACAGGGTTTTGCTCTGTAGCCCAGGCTGTTCTCAAACTCCTAGTTAAAGCAGTCTGCCTGCCTTGGCCTCCCAAAGTGCTGTATTACAGGTGTAAGCCACTGCACCTGGCCTAATTGAATATATTTAGAGGGTGAGGTGTATGTCCAGGAAAGGTGAGGAACAAGGGGAGAGATGAGGGGCCATGGGAGTGGTGAGGGATAAGGTCGGGAAGAGGTGAGGGACAAGAGGAGTGGTGGGAGGAACCAGATAATGGAGCACCTTGAGCACCCTCTGCACGAGTCCACACTCACTGAATTGTTCTTCTACTCCTTTGTCCCCTTGAGGGGTGTATCTCTTCCTGATTCTGTGGCTTATTGTAGAGGACTTTGCTGCATAACCCTGAGGAAAGCATGAAGGTCATCTTTTCCTTTATCTCTTAATAGCAGACCTCATAGTCAGCTCCCTTTTTTTTCCCCTTGGTCTTTACTCAGCTGTCTCGCCTCTCCAGAGACAAAAAAAGGCCTTCTGAGCAAAAGTTACTTTCTGGCCAGATCAGAGACAGTATCAATAAATGACTTTTCAGGCAGTTAGAGCCGACAAAGCCTCGGAGTCTCGTGGGTTTTGTCATCTGTCCTTTTCAGGCTTCCCATCAGAGCTCTGCCCTCTGGTCTTGTGGAGATGAACCTGGTAAGCTAGCAGGCAAACCACAGTTGCTGCCTTTCTGCTCAGGGAAGCTGGTTTCCTCCTCTCTGTGTGATCACTTTTTATCTGCACTTCTGTCTTAGTCTGTTTTCACACTGCTAATAAATACCTGAGACTAGGTAATTTATAAAGGAATGAGGTTTAATTGACTCATAGCGTTCACATGGCTGGGGAGGCCTCACAATCATGGCGGAAGGTGAATGATGAGCAAAGTCATGTCTTACATGGCAGCAGGCAAGAGAGCTTGTGCAGAGGGACTCCCATTTATAAAACCATCAGATCTGGTGAGACTTACTCACTACCATGGGAACAGTATGGGGGAAACTGCCCCATGATTCAGTTATCTCCATCTGGCCCTTCCCTTGACACCTTATTACAATTCAGGGTGAGATTTGAGTGGGGACACAGTCACACCGTATCAACTTCTCAGTACAGAAGCACCGGTTTATATGGCTATTTACATTTTGATTTAATTAAAATTAAATAAAGTTAAACATTTCATTACTCATTTACACTAACCACATATCAAATGCTCAGTAGCCACATGTGGCCTAGTGGCTACTGCATTGAGCAGTGCAGATCTAGACATTTCTGTCATCATAGAATGTTCTAATTGGATAGCACTGTTATTTGATTAAAAGGTGAATGTTTTTAATTTGTAATGTTTTATTTTAATAATGGGAAAATTTAAGCTGAATTAAAATGTTCTCTGATTAAAACATATTTGCCATTTACTTGTGGGATGTATCTGATTATGTGAGAATGGATACTTATTTTCATTTAGGCGTAAATCATAGGTAATTTTACTGAAAATACAAATTTTATGTGAAATTGCAGGAAACCTGGCAACACAAATATAGACAATTTCTTTTTAATGGGAAGATTGTGTTGATTCTTTGATAAAATACATTGAGCTCATGTTCCCTATTTATGCACTCTTTTTGTTTTACCTTGCAGATATTTCTGTTGATTGTCTTTATGTGTATAACATTACTGATTGCCAGCCTCATCTGCCTTACTTTACCAGGTATGAGCTTGTGCTAGCCTTCAGCTAATAGCATCATTAAGGTTATTTATTTAGCTATTTGACAGAGTCTTGCTCTGTTCCCCAGTCCGGAGGGTAGTAGTGTGATCATAGCTTATGGCAACCTGGAACTACTGGGCTCAAGCAATCCTTCCGCCTCAGCTAGGTCTATAGCTCCATTTAGGAATTCAAAAATTAGAGTACCATATTAGGAAGACAATCTGTAGGAAAAAATACACTGGAAATTTGGGTCTTGCTGTTCTCTCTAGCCTATTGAGAAGTAATCACGTAAAGTAAGTTACTGAATTATGTAAATGATCTTACCCAAGTGATCGTTGTGGGACGCTGTAGAGTTTATTCCGAACAACTTTTTGTATGAGGTGCTCCCTTAGACTACTCTCAAATCCATTTTTCACATTCCAGTATATTCAGATAGTCTTAACTTTTTCTAAGAAAATTAATACGGTATTCTTTGATTATTGTGCTTTAAAATGTTATTGTGCCCACTCATAAAAATAAGCTTAGTTTTCTGTCTTGATGAATGAGCCAATTGGAAGAAAGTTACTCTAAATTACTTGTAATGTTTCTAAATATTGAAAGTAATTCCCCACTTTTGTCCTATTATTTGCGTAACAGTTTCATTTGGTGATAAAAACAATGAAAACATTAATTCCCTCAAAAGCTTTTTTATACCTAAAAGAACAAGTAATTGGCATGACAAAGCAGAGTGTGTCCCAGTAGAGCTCACCTCCATTGAACTTAACCTAGTTTTGGTTGTGATTTCATGAAATCGTGCACTCTTTAGACGTTGTGGTTTTTGTCTTTTGTTTTTTGATGAAGACATTGATATATCGAATGTGATATCTTTTTCCTAATGTGAAAATACTAACAGAACAACATGAAGATTACAATTCTCTTTACCTAGCCACATGTCTCATTTATCAGCTTTTCTATTTTCAGTATTTGCTGGCCGTTGGTTAATGTCATTTTGGACGGGGACTGCCAAAATCCATGAGCTCTACACAGCTGCTTGTGGTCTCTATGTTTGCTGGCTAACCATAAGGGCTGTGACGGTGATGGTGGCATGGATGCCTCAGGGACGCAGAGTGATCTTCCAGAAGGTTAAAGAGTGGTCTCTCATGGTATGTGTTTGTAATAAAAGACTGATCTTGTCTGTTAGGAATAGTGAATATTTTTCCAGTCATCTTAAATTTTTTTTTTTTGGGCACATTTATTTCCTTACTATATTGTTTCAAGAGAGTTATTTTTTGAATTAGAAGGAATATTCTTTTAAGATAGTGGCTTTCTGGTTCATTCCTGTTCAGAGTCCTACATTCATATGTATTTGAGGTTTAAAAGAAAAACAGACCGGGCACAGTGGCTTATGCCTGTAATCCCAGTACTTTGGGAAGCTAAGGCGGGAGGATTGCTTGAGCCCAGGAGTTTGAGACCAGCCTGGGCAACAAAGCAAGACCCCATCTATATTTTAAAAAGTATATGTACATAACATATTTTTACTGGATCACTTAGTAGCATGTTTTTCTTTATACTCGGGCATGCACACACCCACACAGGCTTATATTACTTACTTAAGGGCCTTACTGGACACTTCGTAACATTATTGCTCTCAGTAACACATTTGACTGCCACAAATGTAGGATTAAAAAAAAATAACTAAGATGATTATCTGAGTGCGGTGATGTATGTCTGTACGTGTGTAATGTTGGCTGCAGCTGGTAATTATGTTTAGGTTACTGCTTACACCTTTTCATTTGTGTAATCAACTCTAATTTTGTATCAATTTATATTTTGATTTTGATTTCATTAGAAGTTTAATATCCATTTAATAATGTTGAAGAAAAATATAAAATCCATTTTTATAGTGAGAGATTCATTATATATTATGGAGGGGTTTAATTGCTATTTAATCCATAAGATAATTAGACACTTAACCGTATTTAAAATACAGAATCCAACTAATTCCAGTTTTCATTTGATAGTCTTCCATATTATTAGAAAGTGCCGTGTAGAGAAACAAGTACTTTGTCTTCCACACGCATTATATTTAGTCTCTTGTTGAAACAGGTGTATTTTCTGAGGCCACCTGAAGTAAAAGAGAGGTCATCAGGATCCAAGGCCACTTTAAATCATTTTATTTGGTCAGAATTTCATCATTACTCTTTTGTAATGTCTCCTGTCTGTGTCAGCTTTGTTTTCATTTTGCCATTTAGTCCAGTTGCTAGAGCTGCACTGTCTGGTATATTAGTCATGTGGCTAAATGGCTACCATATTTGACAGATACAGGGCATTTCTATCAGTATGGTAAGTTCCACTGGATCCTGTTGTCCTTTGAGGGAGCCAGTTTGATCAGCTTTATTAATTAATTTAGGATTGTGCAGAGCCCTTCCTGTATACCAGTCCACCTCAAGGTTCACAGATCAGCCTGTGTATGGGTGGGCCACTGTTGGAGCAGGGGCCCTGGCCAGTCGGTGGCTTTTCTTGAGCAAACGGAAACCTAGTCCTGAGAATTGGATTGTGAGAAAAAACAGCCCAGCCACCTGTGTGCTTTTTATGTGAGAGACTTGAGCACCTGCAGATTTTCTGGGTCCTAAAACCAGTCCCTGTGGATACTGAGAGATGACTGTGGTTGCTCTGCTAGGCATCAGTCTCAAACCTCAAAATGGAAATAGAGTTTGGCTCAGTCAGAAAGATCCTCTTCAATGATATGGTCTCCTGTTTCCTGATAGATCATGAAGACTTTGATAGTTGCGGTGCTGTTGGCTGGAGTTGTACCTCTCCTTCTGGGGCTCCTGTTTGAGCTGGTCATTGTTGCTCCCCTGAGGGTTCCCTTGGATCAGACTCCTCTTTTTTATCCATGGCAGGTAAATGTATGTCTTTTGTTCATGTTATTTCATTAAGGATTTGGGATCAGAAAATAATCCAAGCCAGGCATGTGGCTCACGCCTGTAATCCTAGCACTTTGGGAGGCCAAGGTGGGAGGACTGCATGCACCCAGGAGTTCGAGACTAGCCTGGGCAGGATGGCCAGACCTAGTCTCTATAAAAAATTGGCTCATGCGTCTTGTCCCAGCTACTTGGGAGGCAAAGGTGGGAGGATCGCTTGAGCCTGGGAGGTTGAGGCTGAAGTGAGCTGTGCTCATGCCACTGCACTGTAGCCTGGGCAACAGAGTGAGCGTCTGTCTCAAAATGAAAAAAAAAGGAAACCAAAATTTTTTTAATCATTTAATTTTTAAAATATTTAATTATATTTAATTCTAAGAACTCTTATAAAATTGTTTAAGTAATGCTCTTTAATCGATCTTTTGTTTCAGAATGTGCAGTTCTTATAACTCCTTTAAAAGTGCTTACCTTATAGGTTAAAATGTTACTAACCATTTAGTTTTCTCTAATATTTGAAAATACAAACTAATAGTCATTGATTTTCATTCACCTTTGAGATAGGTTGAATTGTCTTACTCCTTTTGACTTGGAGGCTTTAATACTTTTGAATTATTGTAGCATGTTTTCCCACAAAGTCACAGATTCATTAAAAAGAGTATCCTGGCTGAGTGCAGTGGCTTATGCCTGTAATCCCAGCACTTTGGGAGGCCAAGGCAGGTGGATCACCTGAACTCAGGAGTTCAAAACTAGCCTGGACAACATGGTGAAATCCCATCTTTACCAAAAATACAAAAAATTAGCCAAGCGTGGTGGTGTGGGCATGTGGTCCCAGCTACTCGAGAGGCTGAGGTGGGAGGATCACTTGAGCTTGGGAGGCCACGGTTGCGGTGAGCTGAGATCATGCTACTGCACTCCAGCCTGGGTGACAGAGTGAGACCCTGTCTCTTAAAAAAAAAAAAAAAAAAAAAAAAAAAAAAGAGCATCCTGAGGGAACCCATGTAAGTCACAGCAAAGGTCTTAAAGCTCATGGAAAAAGAAATGGAACTTTTCTATTGTATTTAGAGCCTGAGGTTTTTAACATCATTGAATTAAGATCTCAAGTTCTTAGTAGGTATTGGGGGAAAAGAGCTAGGTATTGACTTCAGTCATTCAAAGGCTTTTTAGCTTTGTTTTTATCTCTTAGTGTATTGCAATGGATTTTTCAGAAAATGAAAATTATTTGGGCCATATTTCCCTTTCTCTGCTTTCCAGATGGAGAAGCTCCACAAACTTCATTTACCAGAAAATTTTTATTTAAGTGCTTTTAATGTGTACCTACACCCTGTATTGTATCACCCAGGTGAAAATGAGGCTAGTGCAGGAATTTTCCTGAGGAATTTACACTCTGATGAGAAAGCCAGACAGGTACACAGGTGTTGTGTGGTGTGATTAGGGAAAGCACAAGGAGCTGTGGCATTGTGTAGGAGAGGCATTTAACCTGACTTTGGGAGTTTCAGGTATGGTTTTCTGTAAGAGATAGTATCTAAGCCAACCTGACTAGTAGAGAACAGAGAAGTGGGTAAGAAAGGAAGAAGTATATTCCAGGAGGGAGATGCTGGGCAGACCTGGTGTGAGACAAAGCATGCATATGTGGGGAACTGCCTCCTTTCTAGTCTGTCTCATAGACTAGAATAGACAAGAAATAAGTAATACAAAGAAGTACAGAATTGACTTGTGTTTTGATTTATGACTTTTTAACTTTTTGATCGTTGAAAGCGATACACATTCAGTAGAAACTGTACTTTGAGTACTCCTACAGCTATCCTGTTTTTCACTTTCAGTACAGTATTCAGTAAATTGCATGAGATATTCACTACATAATTATAAAATAGGCTTTGTTAGGCCTCAGTTTTACTACAAGGCAAAAAATAAAATAGGTTTTGTGTTAGAAGCTTTTGCCCAAATGTAGGCTAATGTAAATGTTCCGAGCGCATTATGATAGGCTGGGCTAAGCTATGATGTTCGGTAGGTTAGATGTATTAAATGCAGTTTTGACTTAGGTGTTTTCAATTTAAGATGGGTTTTTCTGGACCTAACATCATTGTAAGTTGAGGAGGATCTAATTAAGCATATGTTATGCCTTTCTGTGAGAGCTGTATTCCAGAGTAGTCAAATAGTATCTGTAATTGAAGGAAAGAGCTACCTTTTTTTTTTTTTTTTTTTTTTTTTACAGAAAAATGCCAGCAAATAAAGGTAGAGAGATTAACACGATTAGAAAAATACTATTTTGCAATACCAAACAAGATAATTGATAATAGCAAGGATTGTTAGTGGATGTTGAATCCAACAGATGAAAGGTTGATCAGTCTTCAATTGCTATTGCTGTGTAACAAGTTATTCCACAACTTTGTGGCTTAAAACAACCATTTTAATTTTGTCCATAGAGTTTATGGGTCAGATATTAAGACAGAGCATATCAGTTTGTCTCTGCTCTGTGCTATCTGGAGCCTTAACTGGGAAGATTCAATGGCCGGGAATGATTTGACAGTTATAGCTGGAATCATTTGGCTGGAAACACAACTAGTGGAGGGATCAGGTTGACAATACCCTAACCCAGTCAGTGATCACTGAACAATACGAGAGTTGATGCTTGTTGTTAGTTGCTACCCATCTGGGGCTGTTGACTGGAGCTCCTGTATGTGCCTGGGCTTCTTCATAGCTATGTAACCTCAAGGTATTTGGGCTTCTTATGTTGTAGTTCAGGGAAATGAGTGTCCCCACAAACAAGAAGCTGCATCATCTTTTATGACCCCCTGTCAGAAGGTCTTCAACATCACTTTTCAGTAAATTTTACTGGGTATAAGCAAGTAACAAATGTTGGCTAAGATTCAAGGGAAGAGGACATAGACCCCCTACCACATGATGGGAAAAGAATTTGCAGGTATGTTATATTGTAGTGTGAAAGTGGTTATTTGCATGGTGGCGAAGTGTCACCTTATGGATTACTTGATGGCTCAAAGGGAAACAACTAGTGGAGGGGTCAGGCTGACAATACCCTAACCCAGTCAATGATCAAGCACAGTGCTGCTGCAAGTGAGACAAACAGATACTATCTGCCTTTTAATGTTATGCGGCATGAGCCCTGAAAAAGGCTAAAGCATCCTGTGACATCAAGGAGCCATCTTGGCATTGTTAGCCAGGCCTTGGTGTTCTCCTGTTGGACATAAACAATTTGACAGAACATCAACGTCATACACCATCACTCTATGATCAAGATAGAGGAAGACAAAAGCAAGGCCCTCTGCGGTCATGTCCGAACACAGAACGTGAGCATTATTCAAGCCACAGAAATGACCAAACATTCCCCTTTACTGGCTAACATGATTGGTTACTGCTTCATTACCAATTGCAGTTTTAGCTTCTGCCACTTTTTCTAGATAAGATTTATTAAGATAACCATTCATAGATTACTCTGCTTTCTAATAGCATCCGATACCAAATTCCTGCTTCCTTAAATCCTCCCCCAAATCGCTAACACAAGCTGAAATCCTATAATAACCCCTTTCTAGCACTGTTACTGAGGGGCTCCAAGTTCTCCATGCTGTGTTACTCCCTTGCTGCAATGAGTAATACATGCAAGTTGTTGTAGTTATGCTTGTATTTTTGGTGGTCTTTACGGTACTCAGCATTACCTGTGAAATCATCATCACCTTAGAGAATTCTTTGGTACTATCAAAGTTTAAAAATGCTTATATATTATGACTCAGCAATTTGGCTTTTCAGAATCTACTGCATGTATACAGGAGGCGTGAGCAAGGCTGTTTCTGCAAATACATCATTTTTTATAGCAAAAAATGAGAAATGATCCAGATGTCCACCAATAGAGAATGCCCAAATAAAATGTGGACTATCAGTGCAGCAATTGAAAAAATGAAGTGGAGATATTTGTTTTGACATCGATAGCTCCCAGACATGTTTCTGGGTTGGGGGAAGCACACGCTGTAGACAGATAATGTGCAGCGTGCTATCCTTAATGTTTTGCATTAAACCCCCAAGTTTTTGAAGGAACAGCTTGCTTTTTCTCCATTCATGACTTTAAGCTACTTGCCTTTCCTGCAGCAAGTGGCTGTGGCCCTGTGGGATAGTGGGCCACTTGGAATTCTAGCAGAGCAGCTAGTGTGGTGTGTCCTGTCTGACAGGAAAGGACTGCAAAGCAGTGGGTTTTTAGAGAACATGAATCACAGTGATCTTGGACCTCCTCGGGTAAACATTAATCTCATTTGGGTGTCTGCTGGACTCCCAAAAGGCCAACAGAAAGCTGAATTGGTGGGTTGTTGCATCTTCCCTGCCTGTGAGAAAAAGCAGGGAGGCTTTCTTCATGTTCCTCAGGAGGAGATTGTTGGACGCTATCCCAAAGGTCTGAAGAGGTAAAAGATCCTTTTGAAGCCCTTTAGGATATTCTGAACCAGGCCCAAGCCTCCTTGAAGCTGCAAAGGAAATTGTAACAAGTGCTTTATATGCAGGAGGTTCAGCAGCCACAGAAAGGCAGTTAAGGCAGAGCGGTCAGAACGCATGCCAGTTTGACAGAGAACTGCTGGCAGAGCCATGAGCTTCCAGAGAGAAGAGCAAACACACAGGACGCTGAGTGCAGTATGTTCACACGCACACACAAACAGCAGCTCTAAAGCAGAATGCAGTTGTTGTGGAGCTGTATGGCATAGATTTCAGACAAATCTAGTAGTGAAAAAAGATGCAGACAGTCACCACTGGGCTTGGCTTGGAGGCATGGAAGATGAATGCAAAGCACTGAGCAAAATGGAAGAGGAAATTGAGAAAGAGAAGTGTTTTGGAGGAAACATCTAGGAGACTTAGTGTAGTGATAATGGGGGTTCCAGAAGGAGGAAATGTGAGGCAGCATTGATACAAAAATAGGAGAAAATTTAACTGAATTGTAGAAAGATCTGATTCTGTAGGTTGAAAGGGCTCATCAGATTTGGTAAGATTGAGATACAAGATAAAAACACATATTTAGGTATATCTTGTTAGACACGGGGAAATCATATACAAGCTTCAAAAAAACTGTACTGTCATTGGACTTCTTTTCTATAGCACTGAAAACCATAAGTTATCAGAGAATTTATAGATGACTGAGATAAAAGGGACAAAACCCAAGCTTCCTCTACCCAGACAAAAAATAATATAACTGTTCAGCTATCAGGATGAAGATTGATATTTGAGGGTATTCAAGAATTCAGTGTGTGTATCAACCTCTCACCCCATTTGAAGAAGATCCTTAGAAGACTAACCAATCAAACCAGTAAAGAAATGGGAACATTGGCCTCAAAATGGTAGGTAGTGAAGAGGAGAATTAACAATCTGAGCAAAGTCCATATAAAAAATGATACTACATATTTTCTATGGGATATAGATGTATAGGTGCAGCTGAATGCATGGGAAAAAATGTGGATGGTATGTACCAAAAGCTAATAGTAGTTATTGCTGGGGAGGGATCAGGATTTAAGGTAGTGGTCACAGAATACTCCAGTCTTCTCTGTAAAGATTTTGGTTTTATGTAAGAATCAGTCTAAATGTTACATGGGGTTTCTTTTAAAAAAAAATATATATATATATATATACACACACACACACACACACACACATATATATATACACACATATATACATATATATATATATATATATATAAGTTAGTTAGAGACCAGGTTGTAAAGGGTTTTGTGTGTCTTGCTAAGGACTTTAGGGTTGTTAAGCAGGGAAGTTACATTCATGATCTGATTTGCATTTAAAGAGATACTTGGTGGTGGTGGTGATGGGGGCTGTGGGGAGGGAGGAGGTAGTCATCACTCTGACTGCCGGGTGGAGAGTTGAAGGGTAGGCAGGCCAAGAGTCCATTGCGCCATGAGGAGTAACCTAGTAACAGTTCCCCGGTAGAACCACAAATGCTTCAAACTAGAAGCTATCTGTGAGCCTTTAGAATGGTTTCTTAGGCCAAACTTGGCTCCACAGTCTTAATTTGACATAAATAAGCTCAGTTGAAACCAATGAAATAGCCTAAAGATGGTTTGAAATAAAATCTTGGCATTTATTTTATTTGCTTTTGAGATCTCCATTAGTGTCCAGACTTAGAATTTCTAACTCTTGGGAAAACAATATAGATTTTTAAAAGATAGAAGAATGATTTTTGGTGGAAACACTGAATTTGAGCTGTTGAAGAAAAAGAATTCTCTGGGTTTTCAGTACATGTTAGTCTTTTGTAAAACTGTTGCCAGTCCTGTAGAACTTCTATTTTGATGTGAAATAATGTAAGAAAATTATACAGCCTTTCTGCTGTGTTTATTGTTAAAAAACAACAGAAATCTGTTAAATGGTTTTTAATTCCCTAGGACTGGGCACTTGGAGTCCTGCATGCCAAAATCATTGCAGCTATAACATTGATGGGTCCTCAGTGGTGGCTGAAAACTGTAATTGAACAGGTAAGCAAGATCAGTTTTCAGAGAAAGACATTCTGGAATTGGTTGTGTTTATGTTTGGCGGCTATAACTCTTTTATCTTTCTTACTTGCTGAGTTTTCTACATTTTATTTGATGGGCATATATAATTTTTTTTTTTTTTTAAGACGGCAGTTTAGTTTTACCACTGTAGGGGAGGAAAAATAATTTTTTTCTCAACTTTTTTTTTTTTTTTTTTAGTTAAAATGGAACCCTTTAATAAAAGACTAAGAACAGAAAAACAAAAGTTTATTAAAGTACGTATTTCATATATACATGGAGATACCCAGGGAATGAGTAATTTCAAAGAGGTGGCTTTGAATTCCAGCTGATCTTCAACAAAGAATAATAAATTTTTAGAGAAGTGACAAGATGAAAAGAACTTTGACTCTCTAGGGGTGGCTAGATGCTGCTCCTTAGTAAAACTTGGCAGTGTAGATTCCTCTGGTGCCATCTAGAGGCCCAGAGAGGCCCAAAACTCTTTTCAGTGGGCAATCTTTGTCCTCCCTGGTGGAGGCAGGTAGGGTGGGCTACCTTTTGTCTTTATACGTTTATATTCTGCTTCTAGGCAATAGAGGGAGGACAGAAAGTTTTCCTACATTTACCTTTCTCAGTTGCATTCAGCTCAAAACAATCCCTATGCCAAAGAGACATATTTTTAGGGTGACATATTGTGGTCTTCTATATTCCCATGAATTTTCATCAACCACGTTTAAGACATCCTTTATCTGAAGGTTAACCAGTAGCTTACAGTATCTAGAACCCTGTTTGTAGTGGAGACAGAATGAAAATACGTGCTTTTTTTCTGGTGAAGTTTGATATGAATGTATCTAAGCCTATAGTAGATTTTGGAGTGGGGAAAAGGTTATTGCTCGAGGTGGTAAAGGCAGAGGAAAAAACAGATTACAAAAGGAGAGCTGTTTTGGCTTGATCTAGCTACATAATGCCTAAGACTGTTATTGTGTTACAGAACTGCCAGATAATTTGATTGTTGTGGCAATACTTTGGAAAAGATAGACTGTGCTTTAGCACTCCGATAAGAAGACTAGGAGTATGGTACTTCTTTTACGGAAAATTTCTATCCAAAATGGCCAACATAACAGATTTTGCTACTTCTTTACGCTTTAGTTATCTAGCAGATGTACTTGTTGGGACCCCTCTTATCCTTAGGCCAGTGCCACATAAATAAGACATGACAGTTCTGTAGCAGTAAAGTACACCTCTTTTTGATGTATGAGAAGTATAGACAGTAGTTAGCCAAGCATGCTCAAGAAAATCTGTTCAAAAAGTACCTATATTTCAAGATTTTGATTCTTAGGAGTGGGGGGTTGGGGAGCAAATTTCCCCACCAGCAAATTGCAGTGTGTTTGTGTGTGTGTCTAAAGGATGGGCTAATTCTTTTTTTTTTTTTTTTTTTTGAGACGATTCGTCGGTACCAGGGAGTGCATGGGATCTAGTACTGAAGCTCGTCCGGTCACCACTGCTAGGAGTGCTGGATAGGGACCTCGGTTTTTTTTTTTTTTTTAGGGGGTTTCACTGTTTCAGGGTCTCATCTCCTAATCCGCCGTCCCCTCCCTAATGGGATACAGCTTGAGCCAGGCCGCAAGGATGGGCAATTTGAGTCCCGGAGTGTGATGGATTGGGGGCTTCTGGCTTCATATCCCTTCAGGATCAGAGTGCAGGCCAGTACACTCTAGAGTGGCCAGGTTAGACTCTGGCCCTTGAAAAAGGAGCGTGGAGATAAGGTTTATTCATACTGGAGGCTGTGGAACATCATTGATCCTCTAAATAATTTGTTCTGTTATTGTTTTCTCTTGCGTGTGTGTGTGTGTGTGTGTGTCTGTATAAATTTAAGTAAAATGGTTGGGAATGGTTGAGAAACACTGGGATGCTTTGCTTCATTGATTAAAATGCATTTGGATTAACTAGGTGTCTTTGGGAATGGAAGCATGCCTTTAAAAGGTTAAGCATGTTTGCCATTCAAATTCTGAGGTGATGGGTTTGAGTTATGCTACATTCAGTCACAGCTAAGAGAGGTTTAAGTGCTGCTGAGGAGGCAAGAGGAGAAGAAAATAACAGCTGCCTGCCTTGTTTCTGTCTGCACTCCATCTAAATTTTCTGTTCCCAAGGTTTTCCCATTTCCATCCATTCTTTCCTCTGCAATACTCTTGTAGAGTTTTCTGGATAAGATGATGGAAATGTTCTAGCAATTCTTGGACTTCCTTTCTTTATATTCACTATATAATTCTTTCATACTGAATTTTTAAATACCTTTTGATTTGTTAAAATTTGATTTATGCAAGCTTTTCAGAAATGTTTCCTGCTTCAGTATTTTCTCATCATACTCAGATAAAATGAATGCAATATTGTATAATAACACAATATTACATATTACATGTGTCTTACATAAGGTGTATGAAGTTACTTCAGGTAGTGTGGACTTGAATGAATAACACTGAATGTCATCTGGTATTGTATAGTGCAAGTAGAGTATAAATTATTCTAGATTAGTGTCTTGTTTCATCACTTAGCAGAGCTAATTGCAGAGTGTTAGTGGGTAAATACATTTCCTCAGAAACTCGTGGGCACTGTGCTTGTGTTGGTATACCAGAATTTGCCTTGACTTAAAGGTAACCAGTTTGACTATTTTTGGGTTGGCAGATTCAGTTGTGTGGAGATTGCTCTATTAACTTGGAGGAATTTGTCTTGTATCTTTGTTCTAATTGTTTTTTTATGATGTTTCAGGTTTATGCAAATGGCATCCGGAACATTGACCTTCACTATATTGTTCGTAGACTGGCAGCTCCAGTGATCTCTGTGCTGTTGCTTTCCCTGTGTGTACCTTATGTCATAGCTTCTGGTGTTGTTCCTTTACTAGGTACGTAATGCTGGTTGTGGAACTTTGAAGGAGCACTTTTACTAACATTGGACATTCTTTTCACCCCTAGTAAAAAGGATGGCTCACTCCATATGCTTTATTTGTAAACATGAATCCAGCTAAAACAATGATTTCAAAATACTACTTTTCTTAGATTTGACTACTCTGGGTGAGATTAGAGGGTCATAAAGCTCTTTGATACAGTTTCTCTACCAGAAGATAAAATTTGAAATTTACGTGCTGTACAAAATAGGCAGGATCAGATTTCCTTCAAGTTGTCTGCTTCTGACTAGAAGTGCTGTGATCATGTAAAATTAAGTAACAGTGTTGTTATATTTAATTTTTAAAGAAATACTCTTTGGCATAAAAGGAGACCCAAAGAGGAGATGCTAATGTGCAACATGTTTATACTTGGAAATACACTGTCTTATTGATTGTGTACTGAAGAATCCTCATAGCTCCTTAAACCCAGCATATTTTCAAAATTATAATCAGAGACTTTTCCTTTCCAAATCTTTTTCTTCTCCAGAATTCCATCTCTCGGCAACAAACATTATCATCCAACAAATTGCATAAGTCAGAAACCTTGAAGGCTATCATGTCACCTTATTCTGTCCTCCATGTCCCTCTGGTCTCCAAGTGTCCCATTCTTCCCTGAAGAATCTGGTCTCGTCTCTGGAGCCTTTGCTCCTGACTTCTGTTGAGTCATTCGTCTCCTACCCTAACTTTGGCACCTTCCTGTCTGGTTTCCCAGCCTTAAACCTGCCACCACTAATTCCTTCTCCACATTGGGCACAATGACCTTTCAAAAGAATGAATCTCACTGTGCCTCTTTGGTGAACATTTTTTCATTGGTTCCTCTGTGGCCTTTAATACAGTCCAACCTTTTGGCATAGTTTACAAGGCTCCTCCTTTTGCTTTGATGTGGACTTCAGTTTGACCTCACTCCTTGCCTTACTCCATGTCATATACTCTGAGTTTTGATTAAACAACCATGGAATGGCCTCTTATCAAACACAGCATGTCCTCTTATCTCCATGGCTGTCTCCACATTATCATTTGTCTTATCCATCTGCCAGAAATGCCGCCCTCCTCCCTTTAACCATGAGAGAAGAGCTTAAAAAACACACAACCAAACTTGCAGTGTAACATGTATACTTGTATGTTACCTTACTAGGTCAAGAAATAGAACTTTTCCAGCCCCTTGGAAGCCCTTTGTGTGTGTGCCCTTCCATACCTTTTGCCACTGGTTTGACTTCTTATAGTCTCATTGCTTCTTAGCCAGTAAAGATATTAGCCATGTGCAGTAGCTGCTTGGGAGGCCGAGGTGGGAGGTTGCTTGAGGCCAGGAATTCAAGACCAGCCTGAGCAACATGGCGAGACCCAACCTCTAAAAAAACAAATAAATAAATTACCTGGGAGTGGTGGCACGCGCCTGTAATCTCAGCTGCTCTGGAGGCTGAGGCAGGAGGATTGCTTGAACCCAGGAGTTCAGGGCTAACCTCAGGTTGTGACACTCCAATCTAGCCCAGACAACAGGGCAAGACCCTGTCTCTTAAAAAAAAAAAAATTGCTAAACACAGGTTTGTCTATACAAAGAGAGGCTAAGCAATGTATCCCTCAGTCTGCAGGGTGGCATGGGAAACAGGGAACAGTTAAGCTGAGGACCCACAGTGTGCAAACTGCATCGTTTCCTGGTTCCTTCCAAGTAGAAACGTCAAGGCTTTTATTTGGTTTGAATTGTGACTATGCCAAGTATCATAAATACCATATTAAAATGCAAATATATATTTCATGCAAAATATATTTCAAAGTCCATTGCTTATTAGTTTTTGTTTGTTTTGGTTTTTTTGAGAGACAGAGTCTCGTTCTTTTGCCCAGGCTGGAGTACAGTGATGCAATCCCGGCTTGCTGCAACCTCCACCTCCTGGGTTCAAGCAATTTTCCTGCCTCAGTCTCTTGAGTAGGTGGGACTACAGGCATGCGCCACCACGCCCGGCTAATTTTTGTCTTTTGGTAGAGACAGGGTTTCACCATGTTGGCCAGGCTGGTCTTGAACTTCTGACCTCAGATGATCCACCCGCCTCGGCCTCCCAAAGTGCTGGGATTACAGGCGTGAGCCACCACGCCCAGCCCATTGCTTATTAGTTGAATATGTCATTAAAATTAAATTATTTTGACTCTTTAGAACAATCTATTTACTGGTTTTGTCTAGACTAGGAATGCCCTATTTTCTTTTTTATTCTAATTATCATATATTATTTTCTGCCCATTAATAGTATATAGACTTAAGAATTTGGATTTCCAAACCAGTCGTTCGTATTTTCATTTTTAAAAATTTTATTGTGAGCTTTTCTGGAAAGACTTTGGAAGGGAAAAAGAGTGGCAAATGAAAAATGTTAGTACCTGTTTTGCCCTGTTTAGACGCTTTATGTAATTCTTACACGTTAGTCTTATGCACAGCACACTATTGTGTTTGGAATAATCCACCTGAGGGTATTAATTTTCTGATTTCCTCGGAAATACTTGCTCTGATTTTAAAGCCCCCCCCGTCCCCTCTGCTAAGGAAGTATTAAAACTCATGAGTTAAATATAGAAAAATAAATACATGTGTGTTCTAAAAGTTTGAGGATATTTTTTATTATATAAGCACAGTTTTGGTTTTGCCTCTTTAAACTGTGGCGCAGTTGAAATGTATAAATGACACCACTGCTTGTGGAACATGAGAAGTCATCTCATCCAGTTCTCACTCTGTTGTCCAGGTTGGAGTGCAATGGCGTGATCTCAGCTCCTTGCAACCTCCACCTCCCAGGTTCAAGCGATTCTCCCACCCCAGCCTCCTGAGTAGCTGGGACTACAGGTGCAACGCCACCACACCTGGCTAATTTTTGTGTTCTTTGGTAGAGACAGGGTTTTACCACATTGGCCAGGCTGGTCTAGAACTCCTGACCTCAAACAATCGGCCCGCCTTGGCTTCCGAAAGTGCTGGGATTACAGGCGTGAGCTACCATGTCTGGCCTCCTTGTTTTACAAATGAGAAAAGTGGGGGTCAGAAAGGGCTCATGACCCACACAGATTGTAGAAAGTTAACAGACCTGGGGCTTAGAAAGCTTGTCTGCCCCAGTCCATTCTTCCTAGGGGAAGGACATGTTTATGTTTCATGTCACTGTTATTTCACATACACTTAAAGTTTTTCTTTTTTGTTTTCTAGGTGTTACTGCGGAAATGCAAAACTTAGTCCATCGGCGGATTTATCCATTTTTACTGATGGTGGTGGTATTGATGGCAATTTTGTCCTTCCAGGTCCGCCAGTTTAAGCGCCTTTATGAACATATTAAAAATGACAAGTAAGTCTGGTGTTCTTTTCATCTCTTGTTTAGGTGTTTTCACTTCTTAATTTATGTGTCTGATGTGACAGATCATAGGAGGGAAACATGCTCAGATTCTGGATATACTTGGAGGTGGGATTAGCAAGGTTTGCTGACAGATAGTGTGACATGTGAAGGAGAGTGGAATCAAGGACTCAATTGGCCCAAACAACAGGGAATATGGAGTTGTCACTTACGGAGCTGGAAAAGACTGGGAGAAACTGTTTTGGAGAGGGAGGTTTTTTTTTGGTGGTGATGGTTTTTTTTCTGAGACCGAGTCTCGCTCTGTTGCCAGGCTGGAGTGCAGTGGTGCGATCTTGGCTCACTGCAACCTCTGCCTCCCAGGTTCAAGTGATTCTCCTGCCTCGGCCTCCCAAGGAGCTGGGATTACAGGTGTGCACCACCACGCTCAGCTAATTTTTGTATTTTTAGTAGAGACAGGGTTTCACCATGTTGGCTAGGATTGTCTCGATCTCCTAACCTCGTAATGCACCTGCCTTGACCTCCCAAAGTGTTGGGATTACAGGCGTGAGCCAGTGCACCCAGCCAAGAGATTTTTTAATGCCCATTCCAAATAGTTTTTCAGTCTGTTTTGAAATGTTTTGGTCTGACAGTATATTAAATAGTTTTAGATAAAAATAAGAAGCCTGCATTAGAAACCAGCAGTGCCCTGCATAAGCTCCTCTTGCTTATGCAGGGCCACTAGGTTACTCTCAGGTTGCACAGAGAGGCTTGAGGGTTACTGCAAAAATGTTGTGGGACTCTCTGTTTTGAGGAAACCATTGAAAACTCTGTCACCTGATGTCAGTGAGAGATTGAGGAAAGCCAAGGAAGACACCTTCCTGGGATAATATTTGACCTTTCATGTCCTAACTGTAGGCTGAATCATCTACTTCACTGGGTTCTAGCAGAGAAAGTGAGTTTGTTGTTTATCCATCTCAGTCGGCCAAGAGAGTCCCAGTTTATACCTGCTGCCTTTGTGTCATTATTAACACTACCCCCTTTGTTGTGCTTGTCCCTCCTTGCACAACAAATTATACAGTTACCTTATTTGTTCTGAGGAGTTAAGATTTTTGAGAATGAAATTTATAGCGTTCAAGACTTCTCCAAAGCATTTACTGACAGTAAAAAATACAAGTATACTTAGCCAGTCAGAGTACAAAGGACTGTCAACTGAAAGAAGAGGAAGGGGTATTTTCAATGATGAAAATCAACTTTTTAGCACTTAACTTTTTGGCAGAGGAGTAAATACTGCAAACAGAATGACAAGCAAGACATGCCCTGAAGGAACTTCCTGCCTGCTTCTTTCTGTATGCTGGGTGCCTGCCTTTCTGCACTCTGCCCTTCTCAGCCTTTGCCAGGGGTCTATTCCCATTGACCTCTTATTTCTCATGCTTTATCTTCTTCTGCCTTTTCCTGTAGCCCAGTGTCCTCTTTCCTCTTTTCCCATCTATTCCTTCATGCAGAAAACTGTAGACTTAAGTGAGGGCATGTCTTGTCAGCTGTTGTATATGTACTCTTTAGCATAGTGTTTGGTCTGTAGGAGGTGCTAAGAGTGAGTGTGTATGTGAGAGTGTGTGTGTGTGTGTGTGTGTGGTGGGCTTGAGTATGAGGGAGTGAGTGGTGGTGGAAGAGAGGGAGTTGGGTTCAGAGTCTCCTTTCTCTGCCACTGAGTTACTCTTTGGACTTGTTCAATTTAACTTGGTATCTGTATGCTTTTTATTTACTTACTTTGTCATTGCTGTAATGCTGCCCATATTCTTAGTGCATCTTGCTATTTGGTCATCACTGTGTGCCGGGTAGTGCTATGTATATTTTAGTAGATATTGCTCAACCTTCACTGTTTAAAATATTTACAAAATCCTCAAAGTTTTAAAAAACACTGGTTGTTTGGGAAACAGTGGGATAAGGAAGGGCTAACTTCAAGAAAAGAAGGTAAGACAAAAGAAAAGGAATAAAACAGTGACATTATGGATAAAGATGCAGTAAGATTAGCATACTTTTTAAAAAGTGACATATTAAGCTACTGGACATAAACTACCCAAATATTTCCTTAGGCTTGTGCGCATTTACAGAAAAGTAATAGATGAAAGTCAGGGTGGAGAAGGTATTGGTGAAAAGTAAGAGTTCCAACAGTGAGCTCTTATTAAAACATGCTAAGCCTTTGTCACCAGGCTTCATACACTTTCCCTTTCTTAAAACAATGCTGCAGCGTGGGACTGTTGGTCTCATTTCCTCCATAAACGGAGGAAAGGGATGAAGGAAAGCTCCCTGGCAGCCTGTCATGTGCAGGCTTCACTCTCCCTCAGCCTCCTTAACTCAACTCTGTGGGCTTTTACTGGATCTGCATCTCTGCCTCCAAATGGGTGCCCTTCACACTTGTGCCCAGCCACCTACAGCTTGTTGCCATCCAACTTTGTCGCTGCTGTCCTCTTGGGGTCAGCCTGCAAGCCGTCTGCTCACGTTAAGTGAGGCAGGCCTTCAGTGAGCCGTCAGTGCAGCTGTCGCCCTTCCCTGGCATTAGAGGTGTCTGTCTCCTTGAGTAGGATCTCCAGCCCTGTCGCTCCAACCACAGTGACATCCGCCTTGTTCCTGCAGCCCTATTGGCCTTTGCCATTGCCTTCTCCTTTTGTCACATACTTAAGTTAGGAACATTTGCCATTCTGTTGTTGAACCATGTTCTCCCATTTCCTGTCACTTACACTCACTCACTGCCATGCTGTCTTCCCTTTGACTTCACTGAAATCTCTCCTTTGATTTCTCCTTTCTTCTCTATAACTAGAGCTTCTAGTTTTACTTTCGTCCTTTCCTACCTTTTTTTTTTTTTTTTTTGAGATGGAGTCACACTCTGTCACCCAGACTGGAGTGCAGTGGCACAATCTCAGTTCACTGCAACCTCTACCTCCCGGGTTTAAGCAGTTCTCCTGCCTCAGCCTCTCTAGTAGCTGGGACTACAGGCATGTGCCACCATACCCAGCTAATTTTGTATTTTTAGTAGAGATGGGGTTTCACCATGGTGGTCAGGCTGGTCTCAAACTCCTGACCTCAGGTGATCCACCCACCTCTGCCTCCCGACGTGCTGGGATTACAGGTGTGAGCCACCGCGCCCAGCCCCTTCCTAGCTTTACTGATGGTCATGTTTTTAGTCTGTCTCCTTAGATTTGTGCACTAAGTTGTTTTATAAAATCTGAACCTTAACAGATAAATCCACTGCATAAGTTTACTGTATCCCTCCTGACCTCCACGTGTCTGAGTGTCTGAGACCCCCTAAACCACTGACTGAAGCATGTCCTGCACTGCACAGCATTGGAGGCCTTCCAGCCTTTGCTGCTTCTGCAGCTCTCTACAAACCCGTACCTAGCTAGATGTGCTGGCCTTTACAGATGTTCACTCCGGACTCCCTTTGACTAGCCCAACCATTGATGGGTTTTAAGTAGGAGTTAGATTTAAAAAGACCTATGAATGTTTTACTCTGTAAGTTCATACAAGAGAGTAACCACCTTGTTTTTGCAACCTAGGTATCTTGTGGGTCAACGACTTGTGAACTACGAACGGAAATCTGGCAAACAAGGCTCATCTCCAGCACCTCCACAGTCATCCCAAGAATAAAGTAGTTGTCTCAACAACTTGACCTTCCCCTTTACATGTCCTTTTTTGTGGACTTCTCTCTTTGGAGATTTTTCCCAGTGATCTCTCAGCGTTGTTTTTAAGTTAAATGTATTTGACTTGTGTTCTCAGCATTCAGAGAGCAGCGGTGTAAGGTTCTGCTGTTCTTCCCTGGATCTTCTGACTTTACTGCTGTCTGAGATTTGTATATGTGTAAATACAAGTTCCTTGATACCCTAAAACCTTGGATTAAACAGAATGTGCATTGTACATCTTTAAACAAAATGTATATTAATTTATTAAATCTAGTTGTCACTTTATTTTGGACCTGCTGTGATCTCGACAGGAAACATGCCACAGAGCAGTAGTGCACAGGCAAGACTTTTCAGTGATGCCTTGTGGAGCGCAGTTCATGATGTCCTAGCAGCTCTCACTAAGGGAACTGTACATTCTTTCTTGGCTATTCAGACCTTACCAAGGACGTTAAAGGAAACAAGTAGAAATCAGCAGTGGAGTGTCTGTGGTAAGAAAACATGAACTTTATGCTTCACTGTTAGTTGTTTGTGGAAGTTATTTTGTATAACACCAAAGCTGTTGTACATTTTCTACTGCCTGATTTTTTTCATGTGTCTGTGTTTGTAATATTGTATAGTATCTTGTGCTAGGTGAGGAAATTATTTTTAATTTTGATAATTTAATATTCCTAATGTGATCAGCATTGGGAGTTGGGTTTCAGTGCTTGTTAGGGGCGCATGTCTATACTTAGAAAAGAGAAAAAAAGTCCAAATGAAGATTTTCATTAGTCCACCCCCCACCCCCCCTGCCCCACATCGTTTCTTTTCTGTAGCAGTGGCCAGAAGTCATGCAAGGTCATAAATCTTTCAGAATGACATCACCAACTGTACTGCATCTTACTGGATTTAGGACTTCTGAGATGCTTGTGAAGTGTAGATGTGGTTGTGGTCTTAGATTGACAGCATTAGAGAAGACTGGTTAGAACATCTGGTCTCGCTGGTTAGCGCCTCATTGGCTGAGGACTAGGTGTGCATTTCTCCTAGCTTTTCGTCAGGAAATCCCAAAGTTTCCAAAGCTTTTTGTTTACAGAATAAAACTTCAAATAAAACCAATTCATTATTTTTCCAGAAGGAAGCTTGGCTGAGCTGGCCTTTTAACATAGGAATGTATTTCATTGGAAACATTCTGAAAAATCTCAGAGAACCGAACCCTTACAAACTTTGTTTTCCCTCATAACCAAAGCTTCAAATTAGAAGTTTAGAAAAATAGAATGGTTGGGTACATGATCTAAGTGTTTAATGTTAAAGGTATATTGTAAGGGTAGTGTTTGTTTTTGAATGATACTTTAGGAGGTCTCATAGAAAGTGTATAGCATAGGTCTTCAGGAACTATAAAAGAATTTTCATATAGTATTAAAATCCAGAGACTAAAACCTGAGAATTGTTAACATATGCAAGTCAGCCAAACATAAGCTACTAAAATAAAGAGCAGTGTGTTCTGGCTGTTTTATACTTCAGCAATTTTCCCCTAAAAGTGGTAAGCAGTTACTTTAAAACACATTTTTTAAAACATCAGTATCAGGAGCTGCGGTGGCTCTGGCCGGTTGTCCTAGCACACAGGGAGGCGAGGCTGTGCGCTCAAGGCCAACCTAGGCAAAATTTGGAAAATAAAAAAATCAGTATTAGAAATAATGCTTCACATAGGATTCAGTGTTACACTCTTTGGCACTTTGGAGTAGCCTGTTCTCTCATTTGAAATAAGGTCTTTGTTAGCCCTACCTTTACTCAGAAATGTAGTCCTACTATAAAAAATTAGGATTTTAAAATATAATACTGCCTGTCATGGTGTATTTCTAAATTGTTCTCTTTGGGAGAAAAACATTATTATTGAATTGAGCATATAACTTGATAATATTTGTAGTTTTTTTTTTAACCTTTTTTTTTTTTTTTTTTTTGCCCCCAAGAGGTAGTCTTACTCTGTTGCCCAGGCTGGAGTGCAAGTGGCACGATCCTGGCTCACTGCAAACTCTGCCTCCCAGGTTCAAGTGATTCTCCTGCCTCAGCCTCCCAAGTAGCTGGTACTACAGGTGCGCGCCACCACACCTGGCTGATTTTAGTTATTTTAGTAGAGATGGGGTTTCACCATGTTGGCCAGGCTGGTCTTGGAAGTCCTGACTGCAAGTGATCTGCCCTTCTTGGGCTCCCAAAGTGCTGGGATTACAGGTGTGAGCCACCACGCCTGGCCAACTTGATTATATTAATTTTGGGTTTTGTTTTGTTTTGTTTTTTAATTTTTCGAAGAATTTGTGGATCTTGGTATAAAGTCATTGGAACATATCTGTTTTAACCGAAAGAGATCCTAGGCAGATACCTCAAAAGGTTAAAAATTCTTAATCCTACAGAATTTTAAATGAATCTTATCAAATGTTTTGTAAACAAACAATGTGAATGGCCAAAACATTGCCCTCCATTTCACTGGCAGGTAATTTATATTGTCTTAGTTAAGAATTCTCCCCTAGTTTTTCTATTGTACTTTATCCTGTTGTTTTCAATGAGATAAGTATCGTCATAGAAAAAGCATTTTCCGGCATAATATTTGCTTGGGTAGAATTCAGGTTTTATTATTAATATTAACCAAGAGCCTTTTACATATTTAAAACCCATAGTTCAGAAAATGCTAGTATTGCTGCCCTTCTTCACATAAATTTTTAAAAGAATTATACTATAATTTTGCTTCATTTTATATTGGGTTAAAACAGCCTTCAAGAAAGTTAACTAGGAAAGAAGACCTTTTCGTTTTATTTTTACTGTTTATATATAGAAGACAAATCAGCATTTGGGGTTAGTTTTACATGACCAGTTATCAAATGGTCATAGTATGAAGTGTGCAGTTGTTCGTTATTAGTAAATTATGTTTGATTTTTAAACTATTTAGTACTAATAGTTGAGATGAAAACTGAAGAAAAATGCCAATGTGATGTTTGTGTATAGCTAGCCTTAAAAAACTTCCCATGTTTTTAGGTGATTTTTCCCCCCTCTTAGTTCTCTGGAGAAACAATGAAGATGGGCCATTTCAATTCCAGATGTAAACAAAAAGTAATTTTTATTTCAACATTTAATGTAACTGTTATTGTGGATTCTTGTTTTGTGTATTTTCTTTCCCTTATTGAAGTAATAGAGAATAACTTTCCTTCAAATGATTTGATCCAAGATACGTCATTTCTGTATTGGCAAAATGCCACTATTAAAAGTGTAATTCTTGAATTTAGGTTGAATTGATGACTTTTTAAAACAAAACAGTAACACTGGACATTTCTACATCGTATTGCATTTGCAAATGTGCGTGAACGCACGTACATGTGCAGGAGAATGTAGTGCCATAAGAACACTGGCACTTTTTAAAACTTTCCAAGTTAGCTACTTATTTTCATTTTCAGGGTTGAGTACTCTAAGCTCTCTACTTACTGTGAGAAGTTTTCTACATTGTAAAATTAAAAGATTACATTTAAAATACTCCTTTAGGATATTATTCAGCCATCAAAAAAAAAAAAAAAAAACAACTAAAATGTGTTACCACTAAAGTATTATTAAAAGCCTCATTTGTGGAGATTCGCTGACTTCCTTGGTTAAGCTGTCTTGTATTTACTTAATTTGTCCTCTCAACCAGGTGTTTTCTTTTCAGCCTGTTACTGCCCTGTGCCATTTAAAAAAATAGCCATCATGAGTAAGGGCTTCTTTAAAATAATCCCTGACAATATCTTTGGCATTAATAAGACATAAAGATAAGACAGTATATGTATGTTTTCATTCCTGTTTTGTACGAGTGCCTCATTTTGTAGTCATGAAAGTAACAGTACCTTAAATAAAAATGTAATGACTAAGGTCTAGGAATAACTATTGTAGAAGCTAAATAGAACACTTAGTTGGGGGTGTCAGTTTTCTATTAAAGCAAACACCTTAGGTACCCAGACCAATTTTTATGTATATATATTCTGAAATGCTCCCTTTTTTATGTGGTCATTTGTTGCCTTCTAAGTTGAGAGAACAAAACTGAATAAAGTGAATGTTAGTTGTAGTCTAGTTTTTTTGTTTGTTTTTGTATTATTGCAAGATTGCTTTAAGATTGCAGAAATATCCATTATTAGCCAGTATAGATAATCCAGATGTTTTAATATAATAGGAAGGAAAAATAACTCCAGTTAAATGTGACTGTGGCCCCTCCCTTTTATGTATAAATTTAAACGCATAGTTGCAGCGGATACATCCCTCCCCTCTGTCTCCCTAACTTGAATTGTAGCCCATCCTCACTGGGAAGAGTAAGGCCCCACATTTTGTGCAATAGCAGGCTACTGCCCACTTCTGCATGTCTGCTACAAGATAGGTTGTCTGTTAGCTGAATGCTTCGAGTAAAACCAGTCAAATCCATTGTACATGCTTGACCATATGTCCCAGAGAAAAAGGAAAGACTTGCATGATGTTTTTTTCCTTCTGAGTGCCCTGAGGAGATCCTTTTGCTTCAGACTGTTTCTAATTTTTATTTGTCTATAGGTTCAGAATTTTTCCTATGATTGTTTTCCCCCAAACAAGTGCATTTTTACTTTAAATGCCGAGGTGATAGAGGAAATGCTGTTTGAACCATAGACATCTTTAATCTGTGAAGTTGAAATTTTTCAGCAAAGGAAGTTGCATGGTGAAGTTCAGAAACTGACCATTAATTTCCCCCTTCCACTCCACAGTTCTTAGCTACTCTTGTTGCAAACATACAGTGATAAGGAGAACTGATGTATCAAGGGGCTGAGAAGGTAACGTTCCCCTCCTCCTGAATGTTTTTATTTTGATGTCTGTTTTGTTTCTAGCACTGTACTTAGTAGTATAGTTGAATGGGGTATGACATCTCCCTTCAAGGAACTCAGAATGGAACAGAAACATGAGCAAAAGATTGTATTACAGAGGTGTGAATAAAATGCCATGGGGAACATGGAGGAAGGTTCACCCGGGAGAGATGGCCTAGCCACTTCCTTAGTGACTGTTTGGTGTGTGGAGGTCCCCCTGCCATTACTCTTTCAGCCTTCTGCAATCTAGTTCTACAGAGTCACACACTTCTCCAAAACCAACCATACGTAAACACTACGTAGAGGCCCCTTTTTGCCTCATTTTACATTGTTTAGTTATCATTTTGAAACTTTTCTTTACATATGTAACAGTGCCAGAGTTTTTCTGCTTCTCTGTGGTTGTTCAGTAACTCCTCTTTAGGACATACCTAAAGATGAGAAGCTTCATACCCCGTACTCCCATTCATTCACTCATATGTTTCTGGGATCGGTCCCTTCTGCTTCCTGTGCATTGGTTTGATGGAACAGAATAGAGTCCAGAAATAACCCAACATGTATGTGGACAACTGATTTTTAACAGAGGTGCAAAGGTCTTAAAAAAAAATGGTGCTGGAATAATTGGGCATCAGATGCAAAATTTAAAATTGATCATATCTTAACACTGGCAAAGATTAAAGTCAAAATGGATTATAGTTCCCCAAAACTGTATAATTTCTAGAAGACGACAAGGAAAACGTGTTCAGCCTTGGTTTAGAAAAAGATTTCTTAGATCCAACATCAAAAGCACAATCCATGAAGGAAAAATCAATAAATTGTACTTTATCAAAATGGAAAACTTCTCTTTGAAAGGTACCATTAAGAGAACAAGAAGACAAGCTGTAGAGTGGTAGAAAATATTTGCAAAACATTTCTGATAAATGACTTGCATCTAGATTACATAAAGAAGTCTCAAAACTGAACAAGTAAACCCATTGTTTACTTAATTGCTGTTTCTCCTGAGCTTGCTGCCTCTGCCCCTGCTCTTTCTTCCTTTTTCCATTTGTTTTCAACATTGAATCCCAAATGTCCTTGAGATCCAAGTCAGATCACACCAACCCTCAGAACTCTCCAATAGATTACCATGGCACTCAAAATTCCACAATAGCCTTCAACGCTGGGCAAAACATGGAGCATCCCTTTCCTTCGTGTTCACCCCGCTCCTGCCGTCCTGCCTGCCTCCAAAACAGGTCAGGCCTTAGGGCTTTTGCACTTACTATTTGCCCTACCCAAATGTTCTTCATTCAGGCTCTTCAGCCTCCTCATTTCTTTCCTGAAGTGTCATTCTCACTGAGGCTTATCTAAAGCTGCAGCTACTGGGGCATTCCTGTCTCATCTCCCTGCTGTATTTTGTACTCCCTGCTCTCTTTTGTACTTTTAAACATACTATATCGTTTACCTTTCTTGTTTATATTTGTGTTTTTCCCACTTGAATGTAAGCTCCAAAGATTTTATTTTTTTAAACTGAATTATTACTGTATTCCCAGAATAATTCCCTGGCAAATACTTGGTACTCAATAGTAATGCTAAGTTAGTAAATAAATGATGAATTTAGAATCAAAATAATGTATCTATGGCCAAAATAAAACCTGAAATCCCTGTCTCATTTCCCAGACGTAACTGCTGTTAATAGTTTTAGTTACATGCTTCCAGACATACCTTCACAGAATCATTTATCTCAATAAACGTGTCATACTATGCAGACTGTTCGACAAGATGCTTTTTTTCACTTTACACGGGCATCTTTTCATACCATTGTGTAGCTAGGCCATGATTTGTTTTCCAAAAGACAGTTACCCAATTTATATGGTAAAGATTTTTGTCTATATTTTTGTAGTATTTCTCTAGGGTAAGTTCCCAGAAGAAATATTGCACAATCATCGAAAAATTTTAGTGTTAAATTATTGGCCCCTAAAGGTACTAATTAACATCCCTCTCAATAGCATATAAGATTCTTTGTTTTCTTTTTTTTGGGCGGGGGGGGATTGGGGACAGAGTCTCACTCTTGCCCAGGCTGGAGTGCAGTGGTGCCATCTTTGCTCACGACAACCTCTGCCTCCCAGGCCCAAGCTATTCTGCCTCAGCCTCCCAAGTAGCTGGGATTACAGGCATGTGCCACCACGCCCAGCTAATTTTTGTAGAGATGGGGGTTTCACCATGTTAGCCAGGCTAGTCTCGAACTCCTGATCTTGTGCTGGGGTTACAGGCATGAGCCACCGCTCCTGGGCCGATTCCGTGTTTTCATACTGTCATCAACTTTAAATACAAGTATTTTCAGTTTTTGCCAATGCTGTTAATTTAGAAATGTGTATGTGTATATTGTCTGGTGGGTGTTTGGACGGAAACGATCAAAATCGGGCAACTTTCCCAGTTTCCTTGAAGGGAGGGCTTGCCATTGGCGCCTCCTGGAAGTAGCTCGCTGTAGTTCTCCATCTTCCTGTTTTGAGGAGCGCAGGAGGAGATGGATCTGGGGTCTCATCCATACGGTGGCTTGTTAACGGCAACTGCAGCAGCCAGCCAGGTCACCCCCTAAAGCAAAGTTAACACCTTGCATGGTGCCTTGGTCAGCACCCACCAAATTCGAGGATTCTCCTATCCTTCGACTCAAGGCTCTTTTGACAGATGTGATTTATTTCCTCCGAGAGCCAATCACATTGGCTCAACCACCCTATCTTAAGAAAACAAATACAATATTGTTTTAGCTGGAAACTGCCCTCTGTCTAAGTGGCTTTTTAAATGAAGAACTCAGGTTCACTAAGGCACGGCTTAGGCAAGGGCATGTGCGAAGTTCGAGGCCTGAGACGTTTGGAGAAGCGGCCCCAGGCGCAGGCGCGTCCCGCAGTGGGGCCCGTGCCGCCCAGGCGATCAGCCCCTTCAGTTAACTCGCTTCCCTCCTAGCAGGCCCGAGTCCCCTCGCCTCAGCCTCACGCAGCCAGAGCAAGGGGAAGAGGGAGTCCTTCGTGAGTTCGCCGCTCACTTTCGGCGGTGGGAAACCGATCCGAAAACCCTTTTGTAGGTGAAACGCTCAGCTCGCGCGGCTCTGAACCACTGGGGAGCAGCGGCGGCTGCGAGCCGGACTGCGCCAGCACCTCCTCGTCCCGCCCCGGGGCGGCTCAGGGCCGCCTGCGCGTGCGCGTGCGCGGTGCCAGGGGCGGGGCCTGCTCGCGTCTCGGTTGCCTGGATACCGAGAGCGTCCGTAGTGGCCGCTGGCGCTGGCGAACTGCAGGGTCTGGGGTGTTATTGGAGGGGCAGTTGGTCCTCATTTCTCCCGAAGCCCGCGGAGGAGCGGGTAAGAGCCCCGCGAAGCCGGCCCCAACCTTGGGAAAGGGATGGGAGGCGACTCTGGCCGCTAGCCCCGCGCTGCTAGCGGCTCCACCGCGCCCTAGCCGACAGCCGCCCTTCTTCCTCGCAGCGCGCCGCGATTCCCCAGCCTGGTCCCTTCTGCGGAGAGCGATGCCGCTTCCCGACACCATGTTCTGCGCTCAGCAGATCCACATTCCCCCGGAGCTGCCGGACATCCTGAAGCAGTTCACCAAGGCTGCCATCCGCACCCAGCCGGCCGACGTGCTGCAGTGGTCCGCGGGGTAAGCACCCTCGGCCCGGGGAGCGGTCCGGTCTACGTGCCCAAGCCAGACGAGCCCAGAGGGCCCTCCTCCCGGACCAGGGGCCCGACGCGGCGCTCAGCGTCCGTAAGAGTATCAGGCAAAACTTTCCCCTTAGCATTGGTGACATCTATACTTGAGTGTCTATCTAGGAACCATTTATCGACCATGAGACCCGAAATTATTGCAAAATGCTCACTTACCTACAAAGTAATGGCAACTCAGTTGTTTAAAAGTGTTTATGATGAAGATAGACTAAAATTTAAAGCAATTGCATTGGGCAGAAAAGTGTCTACATTATGTTAAAAAAATTTACATGGTTGCGGTCACTTTACTTGTGAAATGATTTTTTACAAAAAGGAATATTTTAGCTAAGTTCCTCATCTGCAGAGAATCCTCTCAAAGCTATGTATACCCAGAGCTGGTTAAATTTATTAGAACTGGGACGACCGTGGTCATACTGAGGTCATCATCCCTAGAGTGCTCCCGGTAAACTGTCCAGCAAATGAACCTTCACAGGTTTTTTTTGTTTTTTTTGTTTTTTTTTTTTTTTTGCCACAAACATTACAACACTTTCCAGGAACAGACATTCATAATCTCAAAGTTACAAGTCAACAGATCTTAGAGGCATTAAAAGAAATCCTCTTGGTTTTACAGGAGAACTCTTTGCCCCTTTTCAATAAACAGATGTAAAACAAAAACTCACTTTTATGATGACAAGAGTCAGCATAGGTGTAAATTTAATTTAAATATTTTAGTCATCAACATGTCAAATTTTGACTGGGCTTGGTGGGTCACGCCTGTAATCCCAGCACTTTGGGAGGCCAAGCTGGGAGGATCACTTGAGCAATAGAGTTTGAGACCAGCCTGGGTAACATAGCAAGACCCCATCTGTATTTTTTTTATAAGAAAAATAGTTTAAAAAGAAAAAAAAAGCCAAATTTTGCTGGCTTTCTCTAAATTCTATAACCAAGGTGAATTAGTTTCCTTTGGCTGCTGTAACAAATCACCACAAAACTTGACAGCTTAAAACACAGACATACATTCTAGCAGTTCTGGAGGCCAGAAGTCCAAAATCAGTTCCACTAGGCTAAAATCAAGGTGTTGGCAGGGCTTTGCTCTTTCCAGTGGCTCTCAGGAAAACCCAGCTCGTTTCCTTTCCTTTTCCGGCTTCTAGAGCTGCATTCCTTAGACTCCTTGGCTCATGTCCCCTTCCTCCATTTTCAAGGCCAGCATCTTCAAATCTCCCTCTGCCTCTCTCTTCCAAGGACCCTGGTGATTGCATTCAGTGGCCATCCAGATAGTCCAGGGCGATTTTCCCACCCGAGATCCTTAATCAGTCTACAAAATCCCTGTTACCATGTAAAGTAACATTCCCAGGTTCCTGCGACTTGGACCTGGATATCTTTGGGGCTGTTATTTTACCCACCAACTGAGCTACTTGTCCATCCAGTGCTTGCCCTCTGAGAAACGCTTTTATCAATGATTTCTGAAAGACTCTTTCAAAGTTCTTGCTAAAGAAATATAGCCTCTGGTTTTAACCGTTATTCAAACTTAAATAAAAGGATTTATAAGAGTTTGTGCCCTACGAAAAGTTCCAAGATTTAGCAACATTTTCTTGGAACATTAAATTATATTTAGTAATACCTTAGAGGTAGTTATTTTAAGCTTCACTTTGTTTATTTATTTTTGAGATGGAGTTTCACTCTTGTTGCCCAGGCTGGAGTGCAATGGTGAGATCTTGGCTCACAGCAACCTCTGCCTCCCGGGTTCAAGCGATTCTCCTGCCTCAGCCTCCCAAGTAACTGGGATTACAGGCACCCGCCACCACACCCAGCTAATTTTTGTATTTTTAGTAGAGATGGGGTTTCACCATGTTGGCCAGGCTGGTCTTGAACTCCTGACCTCGGGTGATCTACCCACTTGGGCCTCCCAAAGTGCTGGGATTACAGGTGTAAGCCACTACACCCGGCCTAAACTTCACTTTAAAAGGTTTAATCAGGCTGGGTACAGTGGCTCACACCTATAATCCCAGTAGTTTGGGAGGCTGAGGCTGAGGCTGAGGCTGATGAATCACCTGAGGTCAGGAGTTCAAGACCAGCCTGACCAACATGGTGAAACCCCGTCTCTACTGAAAATACAAAAATTAGCTTGGCTTTTGGCACGCACCTGTAATCCCAGCTACATGGGAGGCTGAGGCAGGAGAATTGTTTGAACCTGGGAAGCAGAGGTTGCAGTGAGCCAAGATCGTGCCACTGCACTCCAGCCTGGGTGATAGAGCAAGACTCCATCATAAAAATAAATAAATAAATATATATATATAAATAAATAAATAAATAAATAAAGACTGAATCAGGAACTTTCCGAATGTACCATGCTACTAATTTCTCTCAAGAGCCATTTATTTATTTATTTATTTTTGAGATACAGTCTTGTTCTGTGGCCCAGGCTGGAGTGCACTGCTGCCATCTCAGCTCACTGCAACCTCTGCCTCCTGGTTCAAGCAATTCTCCTGCCTTAGCCTCCCAAGTAGCTGGGATTACAGGTGGGTGCCACCACGCCCAGCTAATTTTTGTATTTTTAGTAGAGATGGGGTTTCACCATGTTGGCCAGGCTGGTCTCGAACCCCTGACCTCAAGTGATCTGACCTCCTGGCCTCCCATAGTGGTGGGATTACAGGCTTGAGCCGCCGCACCTGACCAAGAACAATTTTTGAGTTTAGAAGAAAACCCAGGCATTATTCATTCAGCAGTATATATGTAATTGTAGGCTCAAATGTGTTTCAGCTGTCACAGGACATAATCTGTTAGGGAGAGCTATTCAAAAGTAACTCAAGTAAGGCGGGACTTGGTAAGTGCAAAAATGAAGGGTCATGAAAGTTAAGCAAAAAGTGGCTTGGTCCTTGAGAGATTTTTTAGGCAGGGAGATTGGGGCTTGGGTGGGGAGGAGAGGATTCCAGGAAGAGGAAGCAGCACAGGAAGAAGGGGGCAGAAACAGGAAGAAGAAAACCCATCAAAACCAAAACAGGAAACCACTATACCCATGGACATAACTGCTGTAGAACAAGCAAGCAGGCTGAGCATGGTGGCTCACACCTGTAATCCCTGCATTTTGGGAGGATGAGACGGGCAGATTACTTGAGCTCAGAAGCTCAAGACCAGCCTGCACAACGTGAGAAGACCTTGTCTGTACTAAAAATAAAATTAGCCGGCCATGGTGGTGCATGCCTATAGTCCCAGCTATTCAGGACACTGAGGCAGGAGGATTGCTTGAGCCCAGGAGCTGGAGGCTTCGGTGAGCCATGTTCACAACACTCTACTCCAACCTGGGTGACAGAGCAAGAGCCTGTCTAAAAAAGAAAAAACAAACAAAAAAGATGAAGCAAGTAGCTATTCCTCTTTCCTCAGGTTAGGGTTCTTTTCAAAGGAGCTTCTCAGGTGGGCGGATAGCAAAGCTGAGCCAGCCTCCCCCAAGCCTGTGAACTCCACCATGAGGGAGTCGGCTGTTCCTTATGATACCATCGTGCAGTTGTGCCTCACACAGGACAATGAACGTAAGAATCAGTCAAATAACAGAGGCTGCTTTGGCTGGCGTGGGCCTCAAGGGAACTGGCAGAGGCTAACATTACTTGGTCTCGCCTCAAAAGCAGGCTCTCCCAGCCTCGGCCCTACTGACAGTTGGGGAAGGCACAGGAGGAAGGGGCGTCCTGTGCGTGATGGGACTTAGCAGCCTCCTGGCCTGCACCCACCGGATGCCTGGAGTACCATCCACCCTCTGCTGTGACAATCAAAAATATCTCCAGGCCAGGCGCGGTGGCTCACACCTGTAATCCTAGCACTTTGGGAGGCCGAGGCGGGTTGACTGAGCTCAGGAGTTTGAGACTACCCTGGGAGCAACATGGTGAAACCCCGTCTCTACTACAGTATAAAAAATTAGCTGGGCTTGGTGGTGCACATGTGTAATCCCAGCTACTCAGGAGGCTGAGGCTGGAGAATTGCTTGAACCGGGAAGGTGGAGGTTGCAATGAGCTGAGATGGCGCTACTGCACTCCAGCCTGGGCCACAGAGAGAGACTCTGCCTCAAAAAACAAAAACAAAAACAACCACAACAACAACAACAACAACAAGAGTCTCCAGAAATTGCCAAATGCCTTTTGGCTGGGGGTAAGGAGGAGGAACATTATCCCCCACTGAGAACTCTGCTTCCAGACGCCGTATCTAGCTCAGGATTCCTTGCCTGAGTTATGAGGAATTACCCCCATGAAATAGGTGAAAACCTTGATTAGTAGGAATGTGGCAAAACGAGGCACCCATTCTTCACCTGCACCCTTTAGGTCTTAAGGTTCACATTTGTCTAACTCATTGCTGCCTTCATTTTAACTTTTCTTCAAATCATTCACAAAGCCACAAAATGGAGCTGAAGTTGTCTTACACAGCAAGAAAACAAAGTCAAATTTGAGGGGTGTAAAGAGAGAGAAGGGATGAGATATGAAGTTAATTTGAGTCTATCAGATATCGACTTATCCGTTTTTATCTGTAGCAATGTTTCTAACTACTCATGGCTTTAAAATTGTTAATCTGTGGCCCTGGTGGATGCTTTAATGTTCATTTTCCTGGATATGCTATCTCTTTTCATCATGCTGAAGTTTAGGGCCCCAAATGATGTGGCTTCAGCATCGCCACCTCTGGCAAAGATACCAAGGGGCATGAGTTTCTCAGAGGGTCTTACCTGGCACCCCTCCCACCACGAGCCAGAGGCTGGATGTGGGTTCCCTCTTGACTTATTGCCAAAACAGTTTCCCACTCTTGCCCCCAACATAAGCAGCAATATCAGTGTCCCAGAAAGGAACAATTAAGGGGAAAAATACCAGGCAGGAAAAGTGGGGGCGGGGGGTGGCGGGTGGGAGCCAGGCCAGCACCTGCCATTCCCAGTGTGGTGGCAGGTGACCTGTGTGTTCCTGGGCTGCCTCAGGGTTGAATATGCAGATGCTTAGAGTCAATCACCTCAAAAAGCAGCGAGACCAAACCCACCTGTCAAAAGTGGGAAGGTGGCCTGGCACAGTGGCTCACAGCTATAATCCCAGCACTTTGGGAGGCCAAGCTGGGAGGATCACTTGAGGCCAGGAGTTCCAGACCAGCATGGGCAATGGAGCAAGACCACATCTCTACAAGAAATCATTAAAAAGATTAGCCAGGTGTGGTGGTGTGTGCCTGTAGTCCCAGCTACTTAGCAGGCTGAGGCGGGAGGATCCCTTGAGCTTGAGAGGTCGAGGCTACGGTGAGCCATGATTATGCCACTGCACTCCAGCCTGGGTGACAGAGTGAGACCCTGTCTCAAAACATTTAGAAAAAAAAAAAAAATACATGGAGCTCCAGCTGATTGTGAAGTGGCAGGGAGGAGGGGAAGAATAACACACGTTGAAGGAGCTTTTGCGAGTGCCAGCCACTGCGCCAAGCCCTTCTCACTCAGTGCTCCCCGACCCTCCACAGGGACTCTCATTATCCCCTCTGCCGACAGAGAAACTAAGGCATGCAGAGAAGGTTAAGTCAGAGAACTAAGTGGAGGAACCAGGACATAAGCCCGGGATGTTGGTCTTCAGAGCTGTCCTTCCTAATCACCATTGTTTTGGGGGGTTATTTAAGAAATTGCATCGCATAGCTGCTTTTTGTGTATTGATGAGCTTTCAGAGATGTCTGTTATTTATTAGATATTTTTCAGCTTTGTCAAGAGGAGATCCACTTCCTGTAAAGGACAGAATGGAAATGCCCACGGCAACCCAGAAAACAGACACAGGCCTGACTCCAGGACTCCTGAAAATTTTGCACAAGCAGGTATGGGGGGTTCTGTGGCCTCAGGCAACTGGCCTGTGCTTTCCTTACCATTCACTGTGCATTGATGACAGAGCGAGGCCCACCCCGGCGATGTATTTCAAACCTCCCAAGGTCCCTGAAGTCCTGCTTTTCCTGCCACGCATCGTCAAGGTTGATTCAAGGAAGAAATATGTTGTGTTTGGGAGGTCTTTTTCTAGCTTCAACAGCCCCAAGTAACTATCCAGGGGTAGATTTTACAAAAGTGAAATATAATTTCTTTTAAATACAAAATGTACATGACACTAGATTCTGCTGGGCGAAAAATACAAAATTCCAGAACCTGGGGGGTTTCCAGTCTGTTCTCCAGGTGTGCATTTGTGAAAGCTGTGTGCGGGCCTGAGTAAGCCTCTGCCTTCTCTGTCTGAAGGCGGGGCTGGACTTTGGCGCCCAAGGTGGGCAGCAGCCTCTGGTGTGCAGTTCTGTGGAGAGCCTGGGCCCCCTTCCTGCCTTGCACTTCTTCGCCCCACACGCCATCCTGTTTTTAGAGACATGAGTTACTAGAAAGTGGGTAATGGAGCAAGGCTAGGCATTCCTCATGACTCGGTTCTTTCGCTAACAGAGACACCAGTGGCATAACCCTGATTTTCAAACTGACTTACCCCGTTCTACATTGTGAAGTGCTGTACTTCTGCATAGGGTACAGTGCATTCTGAAACTAGGACTTTTCCATGGCTACCTTAAGGGAAATGAAGAACTCTTGAATGGTGTAGCTTGGGAAAAGACATGTTGAAATCGCTCAAAGCCTTTTCATCCAAGATACTGCTAGCAGATTGCAGAAGTTACCAGTTTTGATAGATTGTTTAAAATAGTAGAAGGAAGGCCGGGCATGGTGGCTCATGCCTTTAATCCCAGTACTTTGGGAGGCTGAGGCAGGCAGGTCACTTGAGGTCAGGAGTTGAAGACCAGCCTGGCCAACAAGGTGAAACTTTGTCTCCAATAAAAATACAAAACTTAACAGGGTGTGGTGCTGTGCACCTGTAATCCCAGCTACTTGGGAGGCTGAGGCGGGAGAATTATTTAACCCTAGGAGGTGGAGGTTGCAGTGAGCCAAGATCATGCCACTGCACTCCAGCCTGGGCAACAGAATGAGACTATCTCAAAAATAAATAAATAAATAAATATATAGTGGAAGGAATACATTTATTTTCAGTTTTAAGATTTCTCCTAACTGTTAATGTGTTTAGGGGCTGGATTTTTAAAATGTTTTTTACTGAGGTTTATTTTTTATTGTGAAGCATTTCAGACAGTACTCAATATCAGTATGCCTGTTTCATTAAGTCAGAACATGATGCTGTATTCGCTTCACCGTCCTTTTTTCATTTAAGAAATAAAAGGTTGCCACTTACTGGCTTCCCTGCCTCCCCTCCCCAGGGCTGACAGAACCCACTGTCATGCATTTGGAGTTCATCTGTCCCCTGCGTGGGGCGGGTTACTCGGTGTATGTTGAATTTTCACAGCATTCTAGTGTTTCCCAGGTTTTAAAACGTACGTAAATTGTCATACTGTGTTTTCTAAACAGTGTCACCACAAGCAGTATGTGGAATTAACAGATCTGGAGCAGAAGTGGAAGAACTTGTGCCTGCCGAAGGAAAAATTCAAAGCGCTCTTACAACTGGATCCTTGTGAAAACAGAATCAAGTGGATAAACTTTTTAGCACTTGGGTGCAGCATGCTTGGTGGGGTATGTACCTATAAACGCATGTCAGTCATTCTGTGTCAGCATGGTCCCAGCTTAAAAATCCTTTCGGTTTCCGTAACTAAAGGAAACACTTTAGTAACTTTGTCTTAGAAAAGCATTTCACCCTGCTCCAGGCCTATTATATTAATATTTTTGGGCTTATAGTTATTTTAATTTACAGAAATTACTTATGAATGCCTCAATTTAAAGGTTAACAGTAGATGAAAGATATGGATACTATTAAACTATATTTAGGTTTTAGAAGAAAATGCATCAATGACTTTTTAAAACTACAAATCATTTTGTAAACTGATAACTGTTTTCCTCATCTGTGGAAAGAGGCATATAATTATTTTCTACTTTAGTAGAAATCTATTATTATTATTATTATTATTTTGAGGTGGAGTTTTGCTCTTGTTGCCCAGGCTGGAGTGCAATGGCGCAATCTCAGCTTACCACAACCTCCGCCTCCCAGGTTCAAGCAATTCCCCTGCCTCAGCCTCCCGAATAGCTGGGAGTACAGACGCATGCCACCATGCCTGGCTAATTTTGTATTTTCAGTAGAGACGGGGTTTCTCCATGTTGGTCAGGCTGGTCTCGAACTCCCGACCTCAGGTGATCTGCCCACCTCGGCCTCCCAAAGTGTTAGGATTACAGGTGTGAGCCACCACGGCGGCCTTAGAAGTCTATTATTAATAACTAATAGATACAGTGCAACTTTGCTGATGTTCGAGTATAAGCCAAGCGACTTAGGAGTAAGACATATCCTCCAGGTGACGAGGCGAGCCTGGGAGGTCGGGGCGAGAAGGGAGCTGGGATGATGTTGGCAGGACTTCCTTTGCAAACCCAGAGTCAGTCTTCTCAGCTAAAGTCTTGCTGTGAGACATGTTGGTTGGGTGAAGGAAGAGTAACCGGGCATCAGCCATGTGAAGCTTACGAAGAAAGGAGGCAGAGCAAGGAGAACCAGCTCCTTTGACTACATAGATTAACAATTTGATTTTACCCACTCCCTTCAGTCTGTGGCGCAGCGTGTATAACTGGACGCCCATGTGCTTGCTTCACAGCCCTCACTCAGCTTTGGTCCATGCCCAGAGCTCTTTCATTCCATTTTCATTAAAACCAATTCCTTGAAATGGGTGGTGGTAAACACCCGCAAACCTACCCAACGTGGTCGCTAACGCACCCACTTCCAACCACCTGTGTCCTCCTCCCGCATCCTGTCCCCCTGCCTGGTGGCCTGAAGCAACGACGTTTCTGAAGCTCCTGCTTCTCGCTCCCTGGCCTGTGAAACGCACACTTCTGTGTGTCCCCCAAGAGGTACATTGCGGAATTGTAGTTGGTTTTGACTTGATGAAAAGACAATTGTGGTGTTAGTAATTTTCTGAAATTTTCATTCTAAATTATATGACTAGATGTATTCATCTGTATATCACAGACCGTGTTGTTCTTTCCCTTCCTCTGCCATGTCACATCTGAGTGCAGCACAGCTCACCAGCTCGGCGGATGGCCCCAGTGGGAAGCTCCGTGCGCTCAGGGAGGCGGGTGTGGTGCGGCTGTAGAATGAGCAAGAGTTTTGTTGTGTAACTGCTCAAAGGCAATGGAGGTGCTTCCTGTCAGCCCTGGGCTACTTGTGCCAAGGCCTGGATGTTGGCAGGCCCGGTACCCTCCAGTAGCAAGGACAGGTGCAGATGGCACCAGGGGAGTGTCTCAGGGGTATTATCAAGATAGACAAAGGCAAATACATTTAATTATTGGAGACATTTTTATGTCACTTTGTTAATCTGGAACTCTGTGAAATCTGTCTGTCTATCTATCTATCTATCTATCTATCTATCTATCTATCTATCTATCTGTCTGTCTTATCTATCTATCTATCTATCTATCTATCTATCTATCTATCTGATCTATCTATCTATATCTGTATCTAGCTATATATTTTTTGAGATGGAGTCTCACTGTGTCACCCAGGCTGGAGTGCAATGGTGCGATCTTGGCTCACTGCAACCTCCCAGGTTCAAGCAATTCTCCTGACTCAGCCTCCCGAGTAGCTGGGATTACAGGCATGCACCACCATGTTCAGCTAATTGTTGTATTTTTAGTAGAGACAGGGTTTCACTGTGTTGGCCTGGCTGGTTTTGAACTCTTGACCTCAGGTGATCTACCAGCCTCGAGTTCTGGGATTACAGATTACAGGTGTGAGCCACCGTGCCCCGCCTAAATAAATAAATAAATAAATATATACACATACACACACACACACACACACACACACACACACATATATATATATATATATATATATATTTTTTGATTCAGAGTCTTGCTCTGTCGCCTAGGTTGTAGTGCAGTGGTGCGATCTGGGCTCACTACAACCTCCGCCTCCCGGGTTCAAGTGATTCTCATGCCTCAGTCTCCCAAGTAGCTGGGATTACAGGTGCGCACCACCATGCCTGGCTAATTTTTTTGTATTTTTAGTAGAGACGGAGTTTCGCCATGTTGGCCTGGCTGGTCTTGAACTCCTGACGTCAAGTGATCTGCCCGCCTCGGCCTCCCAAAGTACTGGGATTACAGGTGTGAGCCACCTCTCCCAGCCCTGAAATCGATATGTTAACAATATAAAATTGTGTGCAATATTTGAATTAATGTTGGTGGTTTCTGCCTCTAAGCTTAGTTGTAAAATTTTGATTTCAACAATGATGAGAAACTAGAATAATTCATGTTTTTGGATCCATCTTTATAGTTTTCGCCTTCCTAATTGTGAAAATTGAGCAATAGATTTAAAACACAATTGAATGTGATTTGGCAAATAAGGCCAAATCTGCAATCTAGTGTGACACTAGATGGAGACATTGTGTTAAGGACAGAGCTTGGCCATCTAAACTGATTCCTGGGGAAGAGACATTACAAACGGCACACATTCTTTTGTGTCCTTCCTATCATATGTTGCTTGACCCACAGAGAATAAACTGACACCAGGAAGCATGCTGTGTGTCACTGTGGGTTCCTGCCTGTCTCCTAACTGGAGCCACCTTTGCCAGCAGGACTCCACATTTGCCCTTGACTCCTTCCATAGGTGCTGGAGGCCCCTCCTGGGCGTAGAAAGCCACAGTCACCCTCTGCTCTGGTCCAGTGCGGCTGTAGACTCAGGGTCAGGTTCAGGTGTGAGAGCTGACCTCTCCTCCCTCAGAGGAGTGTGTGCTCGTCTGGGGTCCTTGTCTGCTGCCAGGGATGCCTGCTCTGCCCTGGCTCCCGCGGCCCACAGAGCGCTGAGCTCAAACACCTGTTTCGGGGTGTGCCGGGTAGACAGGAGGGGCTCGGACCCGCCAGGCCTTGGTGTGGACACTTGTGTTGTTGACCTTGTTGGCCCTGGGTGGCTTGGAGGTGTGGTAAGAACACAAAGCTGTGGATTCAAGGAGGGGTTTCATCATGTTGCTTGGCATCATAAGCGTTCATTTTTATGCTTTAAAAAATACCTTCAAAAAGGAGGAAATAAAGAAGTGAAGTGCGATGAGAAGAATTTGTAGTGGATTACCGCCTGCGGATGTTTATTCACATAGGGTGCTGTGTCATTGGTGGCTAGCCACTGCCTGCGTGAGTGGGATAGATGTCATTCCTGCTCCCTGCGTCTATGGCGGGGCATGGCTTGTGGCAGGTGTACTCTCTGTGCTGTTACATTTATTTCTCTTAGAAATCACTCTCGTCAAATTCGTTGAGTTGAAGATCTCCAAAAAGACTGGAAACCTCTGTTTTAATTTCTGAGTCATATGTATCATTCATTCCACAAATGTTTACTGTGCATTATTTTGTGCCAGACCCTGTTCTAAGCGCTGAAGGTTCTGGAGTGAACAAAATGGTCAAACATCACCAGGTTATTGGAGCTGATGTCCTGTTACATCCTTGAATCCCTGAACACTGCTCTAGTTATTACATCAAAAGCCATCAATTCAGGTTAAGGGGCACTGTGAGCTGCCCCAGGCAGGTGATCAAGGACATTAAATTGCCATCTGGGTGTTAAGAGATTCCTGTCCTCCTTCTCAATGTTTTGATGTGCTTGCATGGTGAAATGACTATATTTCTATGTTGTGGCTTTTATTTAAAAATTTTTTTCTTTTTTCTGTAAGAGACAGGGTCTCGTTCTGCCACCCAGGCTGGAGTGCAGTGGCATGATCATAGCTCACTGCAGCTGTACTCAAGCGATCTTCCCACCTCAGCCTCCCAAGTCACTGGGATTACAGGCCTGCGGCACCACACCCAGCTAATTGTTTATTTTTTGTAGAGACAAGTATCTTGCCATGTTGACCAGGCTGGTGTCAGTTCCTGAGCTCAAGCAATCCTCTCGTCTTGGCCTCCCAAAGTTCTCGGATTTATAGGTGCAAGCCACAGAGCCTGGCTGACTTTTATTTTTCCATTTCTACAATGCCATGAATGATCCTGAGCATTAAAGCTGTGGATCAAAATGTTTTCTTTTGTCTTTTAAGCATGGAGATCTTTTTTTAAGATAAGAAAATTGTGAACCAAGTCTTTCATCCCCATATTCACACTGACAGAGTCAGTCCGTTATGATCAAAACAAATAACATAGACTTCAGTGAGGCTTTTTTTTTTTTTTTGGAGACAGAGTCTCACTCTATCGCCCATGCTGGAGTGCAGTGGCGCAATCTCGGCTCACTGCAACCTCCGCCTCCGGGTTCACGCCATTCTCCTGCCTCAGCCTCCCGAGTAGCTGGGACTACAGGTGCCCACCATCACGCCTGGCTAATTTTTTGTATTTTTGGTAGAGATGGGGTTTCACTGTGTTAGCCAGGATAGTCTTGATTTCCTGACCTCGTGATCCACCGCCTCAGCCTCCCAAAGTGCTGGGATTACAGGTGTGAGACACTGCGCCTGGATAGTCAGGCTTTTAAACACATTTGAACTTTCTTAATCACAGAAGCATCTCTCTTCGTTTACAACCACAGATGCACACGTGTCTAGTGCAGCTTTCCATCTGAACACGGTGCACGC